TGATCAAATTCTGAAAGAATGCTGTCTATATTTACTTTCAAAGTGCATTTTGCCTATTCATTCTAGTTCTGAGATGAAATTTACTTTTATTCACGGCAGATGTGCCATACTTTTTTTCTTTAACTTGTTGGAAGCTTTGCAGTAGCAAAAGAATTCAAGAAAATAAAATACAAATACTAAAAAAAAGGTTCACTAATAATTAATTTAAAAAAATGTAAAAAATCGACCGAACCATTGTGAATATTACGAACGATAGCTATTTTTCATCGGAAAAAAATTTGTTGATTTACTGAATTTATAGAAAATAAATACTGTACATTTGTGAAATCTGTCAATTGATCGCTATCAAATCTGCTATATGAGACATTTCTTTGAGACGATGTGAAATTTGTCGATCAATCGTATGAGAGACCAAGTCTATTTAATAATGATAAGATACTTCATTTTAATTTTACAATTAATCTGAAAATATTTACTTTCTTTATTGAGTAATACCGTCAGTGGCATTGAAAACGTCACATGTGACCTTCAGTTTTGATTTAATGCAAGAAAAAGTAATTTACTCAATAAATGAAAAGAAAAAGTAATTATAATTTCATGGTAAACTGAAAAAGAACTTTTGGTATACCCTATGTAGGATAATAAACCTGTTGAATATTATTAGACAGCAACGTCTAATAAACCATATTTATTGTATCTGACAAATCTCACAAGGCCTTGCAAAATTTATCACGCGCTAAAATGAACTCTTAAAGATGGATCACATTTTTTTAATATGATCAGGAGAGTGTATTTTAAGTTGTAGAATAATACATCACTGAAGAGTGTTATTATTTTACCATTTTTCTGAGCATGTAAAGCAAATAAAACCATATTGGCATTTATAAGAATCATACGCTTATATAATTTTATTTTATTTTCACATTAGCTACTCTATTTCTTTGCTATGTCAATATAATTCTATATTTTATCATAGAGTATTGAAACTTATTGCCAGATACTATAAATCACTTACAGCATTAAATTGAGTATTCATCAGAATGAAATTCTCATTAATTTACTCAAATATCTATCATTTCTAATGTAACACATCATTAAGGTAAAGGAAACACATCATTAAGGTAAAGGAAACACATCATTAAGGTAAAGGAAACACATCATTAAGGTAAAGGAAACACTACAGACAATAAAAAAACATGATCATTATGTAATATATAAAAATAAATTTCGCGTCTAATGAGAAAACATAAAAGTTCATGCAATGCAATGCTATTAACATTGCTGTATATTCAACTGAGAAAATGAATAGAGAATAAAGTGCATATAATAATATTACATTGCCTATCGTAACTATTGAGATACCACTCAAGATCGCCTTAGAACACGTTGATATAGACGTTGATAAGTTTGTGTACACCCGTTTCGTACTTGTATAATAAGGTAAGAGAAGTCATCAGCTTCTATTATTCCAATGCTGTTGTTGATTGTACAAAGCAAGCATATATTTTAATCACTAAATTTGATTGTGAAATCTGATTACTCGAGTCATTTTTTTGAGTTTATTCCGTTTTATTTGCGTTTTAAAGAGGAATTCTGGTTCAATGTGTTTTTTTTTCATAATAATGTCAAAAGCTAAAATAAATATAAGCGCTCGCCAAACACCAAGAGTGAATCATAACGATTTTGGTGAAAAAAGAAGAGATGGAAACCTACTATGATGAATGTTCTCCATGAAATTTTGCAGTTTCCTCATCGATTTTCAAAAAAAGGCATAAATCGATTTTATTTTTTCTACTAACTATTTAAAAAAAATATTACGGTAGCTTCTTATTGCGACGAAAACGGTTCCGAAGCTTTTTAATGTATAGCATCTCAATTGATTTGAATTACTCATTAGAAGTAATGATATTCTTTTATAATAAAAACAAGAACCAAAAAGATATTATCTTTATCGAGTAAGATAGCCATCTAAAAGTTAATATTAAAACTAAAAGAACTCATGAGCAGATCTCATAACACTTGGATAAGACGATGCAATAACAGCATAATTTACGTTTTACTACTATTGACGACAACTTTCTAAAGTATACCAGCCAGTATATTGATAGCGTACACTCGATATTTATTCACCTGAAAAAGGATCAAAGCAATATAATAAGAGGCTTAGAAGAAAACTAGAAAATAATTGAAACGATATTCAAGTGGTGATTGTAGTGGAATCAATAATTACTGTGCAATTTAGCTTTTGTGTAAGGTGCACCAAAGTAAAAAATCGAGCAGGAGGAAACAATCATTTTATTATTACACGGTAAGACAGAGCTCGATGAGTAGATCATGAATATCATCTTTAAAATGTTTATAGGCTTCCGTTTTGGTTGACATATTTTCAAAATACAAGCTGCACCTAAAAAAGTGAATATTTCACTTTTTCTTTTAGAGAAAACTCGAAATTTACCTAGTTTAGCAATGTTCTAGGTTTAGAAAACTATCATCATCGAATTCAGCATGAAAATCTGTATCCACCAATGTAATTTTGACCAGTAAAAAACATAAGTTTCAAGTTTGAGGAGCTCAACTAGGTCTCCATGTAGACACACGTTGAAATTGATGTCTCGCAAAATGATCAACTATTTTTTTGAAAGCAATTCTCGGACTTTCTTATATGATTCGAACCGTGAAGCGATAGCGAACAAAATTATATATTCAGTTTGAAAATATTGTTCCCTCTTTGAGAAAATCGATTTTTACTAAATCGGTGGCTATAGGTTAAAGAATTGTACTCTTATTTCCGAATTTCCACTATCAAAACTCAATTTCCATGCAAAATAAACATCAGATTCGGAATCAGCAGGAAAAACTACATTGCCTATCACAAATTTTATCAAAAAATAATTTTTATTAAAATTCCAGCCTGCTTCCCCTCACCCATTTTTTTCTAGATTTTCTCCTGTGGTGCACCACAGGTAAAATTTTAATAAAAATTATTTTTTGATAAAAATTTGTGATAGGCAATGTAGTTTTTCCTGCTGATTCCGAATCTGATGTTTTTTCCTCCTGCTCGATTTTTTACTTTGGTGCATCTTAGTCAAAAAATGAGTACTCTCTAGATCCGGTCAGTGTGTCCGACCGTCGGTTAACACGATAACTCTTGAAAGCCTCATCCAATTGTCATGAAATTTTGTACACAGAATGATCTAATCAATGTTTCAGTCGAGTTCAAAGATGAGAAGGGTTCGTCAAGAAATGGTTGAGTTATCGAAAAGATTGTCATTATTGACCAGACCATCCCTGAGGGGCGGGCGGGGGGAGTACAGGGATTTTTTCAAAAAAAAAGAAATTTTTTTCTCAGCATTATTCACAACATATATAAATCGACTCAGTTTTTGCAGTAGACATAACAATCGGATGCGAATCTGAATGTTTCCGTATTTATTTCTCTTAAACAGTATGAGATCTGTTGGTAGTATTGAATCATACTCGAGAGAAATAATTTATTTGCAGGCGGTTCTCATCGAATCTTTTGAATGATTTCAATCTTTTTTTATAAAAGGAAAAAAAGAGAAATTACTTTTTTTAAATCTTGTTGTCAAGACACGTGATCAAATATATGATCTACAAAATTGTCGTTTTTATGGTTTCTTTCGGTTCGGTAAAAAAAATAAAAGCTTGTTTTTGTCTTGTTCAGAGAACGGAGGTATCAGTTATTTAACTTTCAACGACGGTGGTTTGTATGAGAGCTATTTTATTTCAAAACACAAAGTTAAGACAAATAGAAACCCTAATATAATCTGTTGTTTTCTTTTTTGTTTTGTGCTTGAGTTGTCTCCCTGAAATCATGCTCGATTTCATTTTTTTGTACTTGGCCAGTGATCATTTTGAAATTAGTTATGATCCACGAACTCTTTGCGTAAAATTTTAGTGTTCTTTGGGAAGACGCTTAGAATTGCCAAACCCAAATTTATAGAGCCAGGAGTTTTTGCAATAAAAAAAGACAGGCTGTGAACTGCTATCCTCACTAAAAGTATTCGGAGTACAAAACAGATTACCAGAACTGGAAGATATTTGACAGTCTTACTCCGAAGAAAAAAAATGATACTCTCATTCGCTAAAGTGATTCATATTTTCTGTTATTCGAGTAGTGACAATCAAAATTTTTCTACATGTTATCTAAGAAAAAGACGAAGATAATCGTATGTATGACCAATCACTAACCAGTTCGAAGTTATTCCTAGAACAAGCAAATAAACTAGAGAAAAAGTTTTCACAAAAAGTGGTATCATTGATTGAACTTCAGCAAATAACGATTAGTTACTTTGGCATAGCGCGATAATGAAGCTGGTATTTATTTCGAATTCTTTCAGCGAAGAAGTATCATAAATTTTCTCACATAGTAGTAGACGATCTTACTATAATGAATCTGATATCTCACCGACATTGTGTTCTTGTATCGAAAAAGTTCAATAAAAATTTCCAGTTCTTTCTTTTGATCTAAAATACACAACTTATTAGCATAGAATTTATCTATTAGCGTAGCAAACTCAGTTTAGATATAAACCAGAATTTTACTGGTTACAACAAGATATTTGGCAGCCCTCAACAAAAGCAGATATTGAGTAAATGTTTCTAGAATCATGACTCGCCGATGAGCATAGCATAACATAAATAATAAGTAACTAATAATAATTAAAAATAGCTATATTTGTATGCGTTGTTTACTGTTTTTCTTTTTAACGTAATTCTTTTTAATTTGCCTTCCATACGTGTTGTTAGGATGAGGAAAGGCAATTAAAAAAAAGAACTGAGAACAAATAAGAAAACTGAGAACAATCATCAATATAGTCATTAAGTATTTTCAACAGTGCATTTTTCCGTTTTCAGATAGTCATATAGATTTCTAATCAAATCAAGTCATAACAAAACGACTGGTTCACCAAGAAAATTGAAAATGGTCATGCCGATAGGTGGTGAAAGTATTAATACGATTTAATTCATCAACATCAATGAAAAATCGCCAATTTATTTATTTAATTTTAACTGTCTCGTTGGGCTCATTTGTGGTTTTAATTATAGGAAGATTTGATCTGATATCCTCTACGGGTATTTTATTGCTCGGAAATGATTATCAACGACGGCCGGGATGTACATGTTCAAGATCTTCATTAACCTCATTACGCTCACCTTTAACATCTGAAAATAGTCATATTCAATTGTCTCTTTGCAGTGAATATGCTACACAACGCGGTCCTCATCAACGTATTATTGCAATCAGTCTTTTTGGCCCAAAAGAAAATAGAATGTTTCAAATGAATCGATCGCTTGCCCTTCTTCATCAGCTCATTGAAGATCTAAACGTCGTGTATCCAGATAATTTTATACTGCGTGTTTATCATGATGATGCAGTTGATTCATCAAATATTATTTGTCCTATTGAATGTAAACATCCAAATGTGGATTTTTGTAATATGACGGATAAACTTTATATTCCACCGAAAATCTGGCGGTTTACACCGGCAGGCGATCCTCTTGTGGATATTAGTAAGTAATTAAATTTCATATTTATTTCTCTTGCAAAATGTTGCTTATTATAATGTTGTTTCTATAAGCGATCAGCAATGGAGATGAAATAATACAACGTTAATATTTGTATAGCTACTCATATCCGTCGCCAAAAGAATTGACCCTCTTGAATATTAAGATCAAGATTATTATTGGATGAATAGATTGAGCAAAATGTAAAGAAAAAATAAAGTCATCTAGTGCTGCAACAATGATTAGAATCGATCAAAAGAGAATTCATGTCATTCGTTCGAAACTATTGAGTTACCTATCATATCTATACGATATTTATTTGGTGCAATCATGTTTGCTAGTAGTTTCTACTATTCAAATATGTTAGTTTACTATCATTTCTTAGTATTTTTTTACATAAAATAATATCAAATTCTATATTGAGTTAGAATTAAAATTGAGAAAAACTTACATGAACGTTTTACGAGATTTTTCGAAAGAGCGTGTGTGAATCATTATTGAATTCTATCTTCAGGATAATATTGATTGCAAGATGGAAAAACAATTGGAATTAATTGATAATACTGTTAAAAATGATTGTTTTATCGGTAGGCAATTTTATCTAAGATTGAAAAATAAATATGAAGAAATAAGAACGAAAATCGTGTCTAATTACAAAATTATTTAATATCTGAATTACATTTGAATCTCTGGTATCTATTTTAGTGATGAGTCGTGATCTTGATTCGCCTTTGACAAAACGAGAACGTGCAGCGGTTGATGTATGGCTGGCTTCGAACAAGTTATTTCATAGTTTACGTGATCATCCCCAGCATAATGTTCCTATGCTTGGTGGTATGTGGGGTTTTCGGCCATCATTAAATCGATCTATATCTCGTTTAATACTGGATAAAATTTACAATCGAGAACTAATCAAACGATATGGTGGTCGAGCTGATCAATCATTTCTCTCTTCTCATGTTTGGTCATATGCAAAAGCGAGTGTTATTGCACATGATAGTTTTCTGTGCAAACATGAATTCGGACAGAAGTCAGAGCCATTTCCAACACAAAGACCATCAGTTAATGAAACGAATTGTTTTATAGGTTGTACACGGCCTTGTTGTACTCCCGGGAAAAGGCCCTTTGGACCCTGTCCGCCAGAATGTCGACCAAAAGATCATCCAGAATGGGTTTATTGCTAAATTTTCTTTTATCTATATGTGTTTCTCGTAAAAGAAAAATATATACATGAATTTTAAGGTGTAATCTTTTTAACTTCTTATTTAATTTTCGTTTCAAATGAGTGCAATGCGATTGTTGATGCTGAGCTGTGAAAAGTCTAAATGACTAGATTATTCAGATTTGGTTGGTTGAATTCAGAATTTTGTACCTCTTTGAGTTTTGTTAGACTAGAATTATTGCTAAGATGGTTCAATGAGTTTCTAGTAGAATTTGTTTCACCGATGACAAGTCTTTTAGTCATTTGAACGATTTGTTGGAGGAAATATTCTTGTCTAAACATTACTGTTTAATAGAAATACCGTTGTTGAACTAGTTAATAACAGATGAACGTTTCTATGAACCGCTGATGCAGCTATATAGACGTTAACTAAAAGCTTATCACCGATGTAACGATGTTTATCTCAAAATCCGATGAGTGATTATATCTGTGCATTTAGAAGAACAATAGAAAAAGGAAGGATAAATTAACAAGCAAAAATCGGTAATTTGAACTAAATTAACTTTGCACTACTCATCATGAGCAATTAAATCGCACTAGTTTTCAGTAAAAAGCAATTGAATTCTTGAAAAGTCTCCTCTCTAGTGATTTTTCTCAGTGGATATATCATAATCAAGTACAATATATATTTTATAAATACCATCTATTATGTTCGGTAGATGTGCTAAACTATTTTTATGTAAATTTAGCAAATATGCAATATCTACTATTCACATTCAGTATATCATTATTTTCATTTATTTTAAATATTATGAATAAAGTACGAATAAATATTTGTTGATAAGCAAGGACAGGATATCCCGTGCTTTTATATATATCGTATTGAAGCCATTTTAATACATATATCAATAAATCATAAATTAAATTCAATAGACTTATTCTGGATATAAGATCAAAAGTAAAGTTTTGACTAAAAACTAATTTGTATCTATTTTAAAAATAACTATTATTCATAAATTATTAGCATGCATTTTCCACGTCAATTATTTCGAAATAAATGTAGATGAAATCATCGCTTAGTGAAACCTTGAGTATTGTTCATACATGAAAGTGCCTTTTTATTTACTTGTTTAAACAGGTGAACGATATTATTTCAAGTACAAGTCATGCTCATCATACTATGATTCGAACTAATTTTAATTATAAACTCATTATTTTGGCCATTATAGGACTATACGGTTGAATGATTAATCCATGTTATTCAGTTAACGTCGGCATTATTAGCACACATTTGACAATGATAGATATCAACGATGAATACGTTTACTCATAAGAACTTTTCAAGTAACTTGATAGTATTATAAAGTGAGTAATCTGTTTTCTACGATCCCAAAGAATTTTTTGTCACATTTCTTGTAGTTTGACCTTTTAAATGAAACGTGACTTCACGATTTTGAAGTATATCATTCATTGCCAAATCTACTCAAATACAACCAAGGAAATTTAAAGAGATAAACCATCTTTTTGTCGTAAAATTTTAATTTTTAGTATCCTCATCGACATCAGTTTATTAGATTCAATAAGATATATTTTAATTAGTGTATTAACATAACTGTGAGAAAGAATATTTAACCAGTCGAAACCTCAATTAATATGAGCAGTAAAGCTATAATTTCGGTACGGCGTATAAATATATCGCGTTGCTAATTGAACACGTTGATAATAAATAAAATCAGAAGCAATGAATGAATAGCTATAAATATATATATAGAGAGAGAGCTATCATCAGTTCCTTTAAAGCAATTAAATGGAAATCAATCGTTGTTCCTCATATTTAACCTTACATAATCTTGTTCGGTAGCTCAAATAAGAAAACACTTCAATCAGTTGAATACTCTGAAAGATATACGTATATGAATAAAAAAAACTATTAGGCAGCGTTTCATGGACGACAACCCGATGCAAACATTGCATTTCTTGAAAAGTGGTGCTACCACTTTTCTAATGCACCATTATCATGAAAGTCAATATTATTCGTAATCAGACTACGAAAACTATCGGAAAGAATGCAATAAAATACAGAACGCAAAAAGCTGAAGTATCTATACATAGAGAGAGAATAGAACAGTATATGCTTATGTAAATTACTATATTTTTCTTTCACTATACGATTAAGAACCGTTCAGGTGAAAGAATAAACACATCAAATATAAGCATTGAATGAGATATCCGCATGGTAACCTACAAAAATTGTACGTCTCATTACATAAACAATGTATTCTCACTACGTTGTTAGTAAAAACCTTAAGACAACCAAAATCGCCTTCTACTTTAAGAGCATCAGTCTACTGAATAAATTCAAACCATATTGGTAAATATTTGTAGTAGCTTTGGCTAATTAAATACTTTTGTAAACGGTTATAATCAAGTCACTAAATTTCGAATTCTTTGAAAAGAAATTTTTATAGATTCTCTATGAAGCATTCTGAGACTAGTATCTTCTCATCAGAAGATTTCTATTTATTTTACTTAGATCAAAATTCTTCTCTCGAATATAAATGTAGCCTTTGCATCTAAGAAATTCTCACAAGCGCAATACTTTTGCAATTTAGAAGCAAGTTTCAACCGTTAAAGTATTTGTCCATACATATTTTGTGTTGTAAAACGGTTGAAAATAAAACAGTAGAAAGCAAAGAAACGATCGTAAAATGACAGAATGCAGTTGATTGGATATATTTTGTTGTTCAAATATTATTTTTAAGAAGCGGTGTTCGAAGCAATATTTCAATTTACAACACTGAAAATACAACCGTGCAGGAAAAAGCTACATCGTGAAAACTAAAAATACAAATTAATTTTTTAGATTTACCATGAAATTATTCTTTTTAACACGAAACTATGCACGTTGCTTATCTTCTATATGTGGTGGGTTTTTAGGAAGTTTTATTTTCTATATAGCATTAGATATTTTTACGCGTAAATCATTTATTCTTAAAACCCTCGACATTAATTACCGTCAACGACCTGAGTGTATATGTTCAAGACCTAAATTACCACAGTTGTCTTCTCATATCTTATTAAATGAAAAACAACCATCATTCTGTAGTCTTTACAGTTCACAACGTGGACCACATCAACGGATTATTTCAATTAGTCTTTCCGGGCCAAACGGAGTTCAAAAATTTGAAATTCATCGAACACTGAACTATCTTAAGCTTCTTATAAAAGATGTTCATACAATTTATTCCGATGGATATATATTACGTGTTTATCACGATGATAAAATAAATGCAACGGATATTATTTGTCCAATTGAATGTGAACATTCAAACGTTGATTTTTGTAATATGCAAAATAAAATGTTTATACCACCAGACATTTGGCGTTTTATACCTGCTGGTGATCCACTAGTTGATATTAGTATGTATACTATTTACATTAACATAGCTAGTATTGTGTTTGATTGTGAAATTATGTATTTATTTAGTGATAAGTCGTAATCTTGAGTCAGCTTTGACAAAACGAGAACGTGCAGCTGTTAATGCATGGTTAGCTTCAAAAAAATCATTTCATGTAATGCGCGATCATCCTACACATAAAATGCGCATGCTTGCCGGTATGTGGGGTTTTCGACCATCTTTAAATCGATCTTTATCTCGTTTAATACTTAATAAAATTCATAACCGAGAATTAATTAAGCAATATACTGATCGTGCTGATCAATTATTTCTTTCTTCTCATGTTTGGCCATTTGCAACATCAAGTCTACTTATTCATGACAGCTTCTATTGTATGAGTAAATTGGGACATAAGACAGAACCATTTCCAACACAACGACCATCAGCTAACGCAACAAACTGTTATGTAGGCTGTACACGAACATGTTGTGGTCACGGAAAACTACCATTTGGACCTTGTCCAAAACAATGTCGACCAAAAAACCATCCAGAATGGACTTATTGTTAGGTGTTTGAGATTATCCAAAATAAATAAATTGAGTTCATTTTGACATTTAAACATCTGCGTCCATCTATTGTAATAGTAAAGATGTCGCATTCGAAATTCAGTATAGTAACCGAATGTTGTCAAGAGAAGTTTATTATTAATGGTTATTTCAGAGTAATCTCGCTATAATTGTCAAGTATTCCTTATAGTTTGCTAAAAGTATTAACGAATAGTACAGATGGCAACGCGTACTGGTTCTAAACAAGGACGTCAAGCAGCTAAATCAAGTTTGAAGGCACCAGGAAAAGATCAAACGAAAAATGAAAAGCAACCAACGAATGTATTAGAAATAGTTCCAGGAAAATTTAATGAAACAGATTGGTTATCATTATTAGAAAATGATGATACCGAAGATTTTATTGCTGACATATTTGAAGGTATATGGGCAGAAACATCCAGGCAAATTCAACAGCTCTATATCCGACGACAACTATTACCATTTACACTGATGATGACAGAAAATGCCTTATCGAATGTTATTCAAGTGAGCTATAAAAATTTTAAAATATATTTTGTATCTTTAAAGTTTTTTCTGTTTTTCTCATCTTCTGATTTTATCTAGTGGGCATTTTTGGAAAGAGATGAACCAAAACCAGCTACTGGTGATTTTTGGATAGAAGATGCAGGTAAACGGAAAATACAGCAAAAAAAAGTGATTATTTTTAGAAAAATATTTTATTATTCGTGTTAGAACCTTCACCATCTACAATGGATAATTGGGGCGAAGGTGTTGTACCTGCATGTCGAGAAGAACGTCCTCAAAGGTTTATTTTTATTTTAGTTAATTTTCGTCCTTGGAGACATTTCTTCTATTGTCTAGTGTGGAAGAATCACCACTATATATGGTCGAACGTCCATCAACAGCTCCTCTCACTAATCTAATATCTGAAAATGCTGATCGAAATCAACGTCCCTCAACGGGATCAACACTCCTAAGTGCAGCTCATACAACTCGTTTGAGTAGCCAACGAAAAAAACTTTCACAAACAGAAAAATCTGATTTTATTCGTGAACAAAATAAACGAGAAAAATCAATTGAAAGTAATGGTGATCATCGTACAGCAACTGAAAAAGAATTGTCACGTGAAAAAAATAGTAGTCTCTCATCTTCACCACTAAAACCTTATTTTCATGATGTGCTTGTTATTGAAACACAACCACCGAAGGTAAAACAAAATGAACGGACTTCTAAAACTACTAACTTTATTTATTTCATTTTCTAAAGCTTGAACCATTATCTGATCTATTCTATCCACCACAAATCGATGCACATAGTTCGTATTTGGATTCTACTCCAGCAACGATAACTAGAAAACATCGATATATGCCTGCACCAAAAGCATCATCTCAACTTGGTTCTGATGCATTGGCATCAACAACGAATTTAACTGGAACGCCAACTACAAAAAGTTATAGAAAACCAACTGAATCCAAACTATTTGATGATATGGATGTTGAAGAAGCTATTTCGAAAGCTCCGGCTGCCGCTCATTCAATGTTGAAAGTATATCCTTGAATAGAGAAAATTTTGACTTGTTTATTAATTCTCTTTTTTCTAACATAGAGTATTCTTAGTCGACCACCAGGATATCGAGAACTTGAACTTGATGATAATGGAAACGTAATTTCTATTACTAAACTTGATCCAGATAAAATTACATCAAGAAGGTTTGGTTGACTTCTTTTTGTTTTGATTCTATAATTTAATATCAATAATTAGTATTCGTGTTAAATGTGATGTTATTTCATCACGAAAACCAACAAATGAAATACGTACACCACCAGCTAAACCACCAAAGAAAACAAAATCAAATCGATTAGAAACAAAATTTACAACAGTTAAACTTGGTTTGTCGATTTTATTTCTGAAATAATTTTACAAAAATCAAATTTTTCATGAATTATCTTATAGTACTTCCCGAACAATCCACTGATGTGGGTGATCTTATTCAACCCGTTCCTGGTGTTCTCTATGAAGATGCTCGATTGAAAAAAGGCGATCCTCGAAGATATCAAGTAAATTTTTTTATATATTTGTTTTTGATGCATTTCAATATTGCTTATATATTTGATATTTGATAGACGGGCTTGTCAAAATATACCAATTTCTATGATGAAAGTCGTCCATTGAAACCTATTGGTCAACGAAGTGATCTATCTATATTACAAGTAGCTAATGAATTATTATCCCAAACGAAAGATTCTACTAGAGACGACGATAATGATCGAGATTTACAAATACCAAAATTACACAGACTTGCTCGAATACCACCGATTATGTCTGGTTCGAGTACATCAACAACATAGTGCCGTACACGTTTTGTTTTATTATCCAAACTTTCTTATTAGTTTTTTTACTTGAATAAATCAGGTTTTATTTTATCATTCTTTAACAGCCAAGAAAAGAATGACGAGATGTTTTTTAGCATACTGCTCTTCTGTATATAGCATATCTAGATTTTCCAGTTGGTAGCAACAAATAGAACATAAACGCAATTATAACAAAAAATGATTAGTATCATTTCCTTAACAGCATGTATATGTTAGCTCTTTCTCCTTTTTCTCGCTACTTTCTATTCTTCAGAATTACTTCTTCTCTCAGAAGGATGATGATGATGACGACGACGATAGTTGTCTTGTGTGTGTGTGTGTGTGTGTGTGTGTGCGTCAGTCACTTGAAACGCAAATGGCAACATTCTCCTACTCTTTTTGACGTTATTGTAGGATACAGAAATGTCTCCTTCAAAAATCACCCCTACCATCCATCTATCCATTCCTCCCTCTTTATATCCATCCTTTTCCGTATCTATTCTTTAGGTCCCCATATCGGAGCGGCTGCTGCTAGTACTGCTGCTCATGGGTGATGTCAATCATCGTTGTGCAAACAACATGAAGAAACACGTACACACTACAAACGCAAAAGCGAGAGGACGAGCAAAAAAAGAGGAGGGTTATTGCTGTTGTTGTCTTTTTCAATATATCTTTGGTGCGACATACACTCGCACAACTCGACCCATGCATGTACATCTCACACTTTTTGTCGTTTTCTCTCTCTCTATCATCCCTTGCTCGCTGTCTTATGCTGTTATATATGCGTTATCTCTAGTAGTTGGTATCCATCGTCAACGGGTGATGACGAGAGAAGAGCACAGCAAAGATGTTTATAGATGCATGCTCGGGCAAACCTTGAATGATGAAAGGAGTTAGAAGAGTAATCTAATCAACTGTAGTAAAAGAAAGAAAAGAAGATTACAGAAATGGATGGAACAGAGATGGCATCTTTTGTATATTTAAAAGCAAAAGTTAACAAAATTCATACAATCGATACATAATATATAAATATATGTATACATATATATATATTGGTCTCAAAAATTCTTTCAATAGAAGGCAGCAGAAAGTTTTAAATTTTTTTGTTTTAATTTCATTAGCTAAATTTTTATTGTCACGATACAATTATGAATAAATGTATTGCAATACAGATATTTACGTTCATCTTAAGTCGCATTGATGTGAATGTACATCTGTCATGCTATATATATATTGGTATATTTTGAGGTTAACCACGTAAAGTAGACGAGAAGAGTCATGTGAACTCTTTCACAATCACTCACCTATCAACTCATTCATCCATTTTATTCGGTAAGAGAGAGAAAGAACAATTCTGGTTGATGATTTGGCCATCACTCATTATTCCATTATGTATTATACACGCTGTGTTGGTCGTCGGTTTCTGTTTATAATGATAAGAGCGAACGGTGATCTAGTTTGACGTCATCATTATCATCATCATCCTCATCATCGTTAGAGCTACTGCTAAGGAAAAGGAAAATTCATTTGCTTTTTTTCTATATTCCTTTTCATCTTCTTTTTCTTTTTCTTTTCTTCTTTACTATTCGAAGAACGAACTTTGGTCCATCAAAAAATAAAATGTTGATCGACTTGAATGTTTGTCATCTCATTTCATAGAAAACATAGCTTACATATATATGCAAGCAGTTTGAGAAAGAAACAATCATCCAAGGGGCACATATAAATATACATCAAGGATCGGTTGTATACTACGCTAGTGACGAAAGTCAGCGAAGTGATGTAATGACGTGCGCATGGAAAAGAATTTGTGTGAGAGACACAAATAGAAAAGAAGGGAAACAGAAAGAGAAGAAAGAAATGGGAATTGTACAAGCGACAGCTATTACCAGCAAAAAAAATGCAAGATTATGCAAGTCACTCGGAGAGAACGAGAGAGAGAGAGAGAGAGAGCGAGCGAGCGATAGAAAGAGATCAGAAAATATCTTGTTGTTATACTCATCACTACGCTAAAGATCGAGCGCATTTACGTACATATAGTCGTCGCTTTTGCTTGATATTCGATACGGAAAATGTATCATCCTGGAGCGTTTCTATTCTACTAACATTATAAACAGTAGAGTGTCAGCATGAATATAACAACGACTACCATTATTATCACGTATGAGTAAGAAAAAAGATCGATATACAAAAAGAAACAAGCAAACAAACAAATAAATAAAAAGGTCATTCTACTTTCTTTAATAAATTGAACTAATCAAGCATCTTTCAATATGTATATATTCAATACAAAGACAAGTCGATGTTCTTTATGTTATGCACTTTTATCCACAAATACCAATCCAACTAGTTCTACAGTCACTTATTCGTCGTCATCCTTAAATAGACGATATGCGACTCGGTGTTCGATATCGTCAATCGAACGATTAATATCATCTTCCATTAAATTCGAACGCCTATGGCGTAAAAATGAAAATGGTTTAATTAATAATCGTTCTATATGTTTCCGATGTTGCGGTACAATACGACAAATAGAACAAATTCAAAATGATATTGAACAACTTAATAATGATAAAAAATTACTTATGAATAAAATTAAACATAATCTTTCGAAACGTGCACATATTTTACAAGGTCAACGACATCAGAACAATAGTTTTCTCACTAATCATCAAGTATCTTAAATTGCTAAATTTCTTAATTTTAAACATACATAGAAATTCTTGTCTTTTCCTTTAGGAAAGTCCTCTCTATGAAGATGATGACACAGAAGAAGGCGAAGAAAAACCTCGAACAGTAATAACAACTAATGGAAATGGACATTCTTCTCCTTTAATAATACCACCACCAACAACATTAGTCGGTGCTAAACGACGCAAATGTAATATAGCTCATAAAATAAATCTTGAAAATAAAGTAATATACGAAAACAAAATTCAATTTACTTAATTGTTTTTCAAACATTAATGTACCATTCTTTTTTAGCCTATTGAATCCCCATTTTTATCATTCAATCATCTGAAACAATCAAGTAATTATTTGATTTATAAATTTTCAAAAACAAAAACAAAACTTTCCTATCGTTCTCTATATTTTAGATACTGCGATAGCTCAACCAACAACAAAATTTCTTTCGCCCAATCTTATCTTCGATTCACAGTCATCAAAACATCATCGATCAAATTTATTTTCATCTGGTATTAATGGTCATGATTTAGCAAATTTATCATTTGGTTCTTCATATAAACCTTTAGCTCTAACAAATACATCATCATCATCATCAACAACAACACCCCAATTTCTTGATCCAGCAACAGGAGCATTAATTGCCATCGTTTCAAATCCACATCATGCTGCGCTACTTGCTCAACAACATCAACAAATTCTTAAGTCATCATCATCTATCTCACCATCATCAATTGATACAATTGTTGATCATGAAATAATTTCTACTAAACCAACTCCACTACCAAAGAAATTTCCATGTCTTCTATGTGGACGGGATTTCTCAAATAAATCAAATTTAAATCGTCATCATAGTATTGTTCATGTTGCTCTAAGAAATTTTGAATGTATACGTTGTCCAAAAAAATTCAAATTACGACAAGGTCTCAAAACACATATGCAACGATGCCATGGTGTTAATGCAGATGAACCAACATTTGTTTTACAAAAACATCGTTTACATAATCATCATCATCATCCTTCATCACCACAAGTTATTGCTCAAACGAATAAATAAACAATAGGTGCTACTGTTTTCTTTTTATAGTGTTCGATGAGTTGTTTTCTTTTTCTTTTTCTTTTATTTCTTATTATTTGTTATTTATTCAGCAGAAATAAATTTTTACTCTAATTTTATCTTAAAAATTTACCGCACATTATTATTTATTACGTACTAAGCGAATGGAACATAAGAGAAAAATCTATAGAATAAATACATACTATCCGAAACAGAACAAAGTATGACGTTTTAGACTATTTAGCAGCAGCACGACAATACACAAAGAACAAAGAACAAAGACAAAACCAGATGTTAATTATAAAACAAAAATGCCAAGTCAATTATATCTATTTTCATTTGTCTCGATATTCTTTATTTTCAGTCTCAAATAGTTTTCTTTCTATTTTGTCTACTTTAATATAGATAATAATTGAAAATTCAATTGCGATTAGACGCAAGCTTTAATGTTATCAAATGTCACATCTAGTGGATTATGATAATTTATCTATTATACTATATTTTAGAAAAAGTCATAAAGTAAACCAAGTGATGCTGGTGTGTAGTGAAGCGGAAAAAATTTGAAGAAATAATATTAGTCTAAAAATGAGTGTTACTCGATGATCATTTATGAGCAACGGAAAAAAGCTTCCATATTAATGTGATTCTTATTGCTTATTGTCGAATATTTATTTTTAATATAGCGAAAATAATTCATACTAATTATACGAAAAATTGTAAGATATATTTCATTGCTTTTCGCTAATGGTATTTATGAATGAAAACGTTATTTTATATAATTAGAATGCAAATTAAAGTTTTAAATTATTTGCTTTGAGTATTTAAAAGAAAGAAAATGTTTTTTTGCTCAAATGAGAATTTCCTTTTGACGATAACGATATAAATGAAGCAAGGTAAGCAAATGCTAATGAGAAGAGTAGTTTTTTCCCTTGTTCCTTTCATTTGGTTTTAACACTGTTGCTATTATCTATCAGATTATCGATAGATAAATAAGATTAGCCTTATCACTGTTCTTGTCAATATTTATACTATATCCCTAAAAACTAGTATGAAAAATTCTATTTATATCATTAATGTACAAATAATTGTTTAAATCAGCGATCTCTCCTCAATGAATAGAATCGATGTAAGAATATATTACAATTAGCGATTTTTTTAATAATATTCATGTATTAATCGTTTATATACGCATCAAAACAGTACCTATCTATCTTAGAAATCTCGCATATCATAAGCCACATAGAGTAGACGCGGGTTTTATGTTCTAAAATGTCAAAATGATCTGTTTTATATGTACATGAATACATTGATGCAAAGTTGTATCAAGACTGGTCGTACCTATGAAATGCAAGGGCTATCTATACTTATTGTAAACGTTAATGTTTTTGTCTTCCGCTTAGAGAATCACAGAAGAATTTTAAAAAAACGACTGAATGTTTTCAACGAACTCGTGTATTTTGCATTGAGACTACATAATTTCACTAGACATTATCAAAAAGAATCTCTTTGAGATATTAAATTGAAGAAGAAATTAAAGTGAAATGTCCTACCTTTGAGTACACTAGAAACATTTTCAAAACACAAACAATTGAAAGATTATATTCTCACAAAACTACATGATAATGGATATAAATCTTGTAAAAAAGCAATCGAGTTATTGTTTTTGAATTAATTGTTCATTAAAGAACAAAGGTCGTCTGTGTTCAGAATGTTTTCAGATGCAATCATTAAATTAACATTCATAAGTTTTCCATCTACTTAATTGTTACATGGAGCAACTGGGGGAAAAAAGAAATAGGAAAACGATTATTTTACGAAGACTAATGAAAAATTTAGATCATTGAAGTATGTAGAGTTATTTATATATATAATTACTAATTTAATTTCAAAAAATTCTCTCAAGTCTCTCCTTGATTAGCTTTAAAGATTTCAAATTAGTACTTATAAAAAGACTAAAGTCAATATTCTTGATAGACTTTTGAGATTATATTAATCCCTTTTCATGTTCTGTTTAACTACAAAAATAAATGGTCTGCAAGCGAAGACCTTTCGAATAAATCTATTATACATGCTCGAGTGTAATACAAGATTCGTTAGTTCTACTACAATTAAAGGTTAAGTATAAAACATAAATGCACAATAAACTATCCTTAACTAAAGATATTATAAATAATATTTTGGGTTTTTTGCTATATGAAAATGCCAAAAACAAATATTGCCATCAAAATAAACAGATAGAATAAATGGAAAAATAAATATTAAAAAAATGTTGTTTTTACTTGATAAAACCGTTCAACGAACATAACTCATCTTAGGTTATTTTTATAGCAAAGCCTGCCGGATTATCTTATCTATAATAATCCTAATATTTTATGAATTACGTACTTTATTTATTATATATATGTATTTGATATTGGATAGGCTGTCATCAGATCTATATTATTTCTTATTTCTGCTCTATGCAAGAAGAAATAAGAAATTCAATCTGTAAAATAATGCAAGAATACATTTTTGGTTTTTTGTCTATTTGATTTTTTTCGTGTATCTTTTCTAAAATCAAATTGATGCATGTCTTGCTTTTGGTTGATTTTCATTTTTTTGATGTAATAACAACAAAATAAAATTTCGAAAGATCTTCCACACAAATACACTCAGCGTAAGTCAGCTATTAATGCGAAAAAGAAAACTGAAGAAAACAAAACAAAGAGGAGACATAAAAATAGCTTGTCACACTTAGAAGTAAAAGAAGAAAGCGACTTTTGTCTTGCGATTATTAAGATGTTAAAAAGAATAAATAAAAATAAGAATTTAATCGATCACTGTTGTACAGCTCTACACACATAAATCTATATCGTTGCATCATACCATAGAGATAATACAGACAACACATCTTTGCATATAAATAAAAATACATTAAAAAGAAAAAGAAAAAACATATACACATACAGATACAGACACAAATGGTAGACTGCCAATGACAAAAAAGAACTTATTAAAAAAGAAACACACGCACATACGTTTACCGAAAGTTAGTATGCAACAATACGTAGCTACGAACCGGACGATTGCATAGAGAGAGAAACGACAAAACATTGCGATTGATCTTTTTTTTGAAGTATGTATGCGTGATAGAGATCTTGTTGCTGTTTATTATTAGTATTTTCGGTTTTTTTTTTGAAGTTTTTGTACGAATATTTTTTTTATCCCAAAAATAAAAGGCGATGAACAAATGAAAAAGAATAAAACACAGATTAATGAGTGATTAGAATTCCACCTATTTCGGAAGCAATTCTATTTGAAAAATAAATAAATTTTTAAAGACAAAAAAATCAGAATGTTTTTCTTTTACCTTGAATGAATTAAAAATTCAGCCAACTGTATTTGTTCAGGTGTACCCGAAATAGTCACATGTCTATCTTGTGAGCCTTCATCTAAATCTGCTATTTTGATGTTGGCTCCAGATGCTTGTCTAGAAAAATTATAAACAGATGACGTTAATAACATAGAGAAAAGCAACAAAAAGAATAATGAATTCCACCTGATCTCAGAAATCTTTTGTCCACCTCGACCAATAATACAACCAATGAGATCATTAGCAATTGTAATTTCACGTTGTGTCTGCAAAGTGGCACGATTTGGTTGAAGACCACTTGGTATTAAAGATGTTGCTAAAGAATAGCAATAATAAAGAATATTTATTTCTTTTTCAATTATGTTTCATTGGTTCGGTTAGAACAAATTTTCCTTTCGTTCTTTTTTCAAGCATTAACTCATTATTAGTAACAGAATAGAATCTCATTCAGCTATTTTCTTTGATATTCATTGTGGAAGTAGAAGAAAAAGAAAGTTATTGGAGAAAAGAATCAAATCAATCGTCTTACCAGCTGGCACAGGCATCCCCGGTGTAAGCGAAGTCAATGGACCGAATGCATTTAGCTAGAATAAATTAAAGCAAATCATATGTATCTATGTATACTATTTTGTCTTTAACAGCATTTATCTTACTTCATTAGGTGGAAAGGGAATTGCAAACTGTCCTTGGACTTGATAAGCTTGTCCATTAGCAAAAATGATCGGTGCATGCATGGGTGATATCATCATTTTAGGTCGGTATGGGATTGTTTCACCTTTGGGTGGCGACTGCTAAATTATTTATATTAATGTTACATATATTTAATAAAATATTTTTATACTTCAAGCATAATCTGGCATATCTGTCGGAAACATGATTCGATCGAATCAAGCTTTCCAGATATAGTTACGGCGCGTTCTGTTGATGACGGTAACATTTCAGATGCAACTTGTACAGATGCTCCTGTTGTCTATGAAGAAAAAACTCAAAATAGGATCATTTTCATCATGACACTCAAAAAAAGCAAACTTCTCGTATTTCTTTTATTTTTGCACCACCTTTACCAATAATTGAACCACATTGACTTGCAGGTACAACAAGTCGCAATGTAATGGGAGGAATCATTGTACATGTTTGCTTTAAATCCTAGATTAAATAAATAGTTAATGTTAAGAATAAATATTCTATTAATAAAATTTACATCTTCAAATTTTTGACAAATCATTCCAAATGCTTTTGATAATGTTTCTATAGTACCAACCATGGTAACAATACGTTCTGGTGTTGTTCCATCACTAATATTAATACGAGCACCACTCTACAATATAAAACATTTATTTCATTATTTTTCTATTAAGATGAAATATACTTCTTCTCGAATTGCTTTTATATTGTCACCACGTTTCCCGATGATGCTACCGACTTCCTTAAATTAATGAATAAGGAAATTATAAATTAAGATGAATAATAAATATAAAATAAAACAGATGAGAAAAACTTACTTTTCCTTGCATGAGTAATCGAATAGTAAGAAAATGATCGGGTACACTTGACAATTTACTTTCTTGATGTTGCTGTTGTTGAATGTTAGTTGTATTTTGTGCATTGTTTGTATTTAATTGAATAGCTTGATGATGTGTTGCATTATCCATCATCACAATTTTGCTTTTCTTTCGTTATTAAGTATAATAGGGACAGATACCGTAGGTGAAAATCAAGGGCAGGTAGGTCGTGACGAATGTGTGAAGACGAAGGGAGGAGGGTGTACCTTAAAAAAAGTAAAAGTAAAATTGATTATTGAATTTGTGTACTAGATCTATTAGTAGTAATATGCTTTGTCTTCAATCGATTTCTTTCAATTACAGATTTTGTAGCAATGAAGGGTCTTGATTTTCTTTTTTTTGTGCCGGATACCCTTCTCTCTTTTCCGGATGTAGTGGCATCAGAGAAAAAACGAAGCGAGTTGTTGGCTCCCATCGCCAGCCGTCCCATTTGCCTTTTATAGTAATTGCTCTCTTTCTTTTTTTTTTCTTTCAATGGCGTTATATTTTTATTGAAAAACTCGAGAACGAAAGAGAGACGGAGTCATCAATATTTCACTATTAGTACTCGTTGTTGGCTCTCCCCCTTCTCGTTCGGTCTCTCTCTCTCTCTCTCTCTCTCTCTCGATCTGTTGTATTAATTATATATTACGACATGATCGGTGAACGATTAATTCTCTTTCTATGCGGAAAAGCGATTTCTCTCTTTCTCATTTCCTTCTGTCTGTTTCTGTCTATCTTCTAAACCACCGCACGATTCTATTATCATTCTTTCAAGAACACTCGACCGTCTTGACAGTACCATTTATCGAGCAAACGAATGTATACTAGGCAAATCCAGAGACGACGACGATGGCGACGAGGAAGAAAAAGGAAATCTGTAATGAATTATCTCTCGTTCTTTCATTCTCTGTAATTTTCTTCTGAAAAGATGCGCTCTTCTACTCATGCAACATATGTTTAGTTGGCGACAACAACAAAGAGATAATACAAAAAAAAAGAATCATATAACAGAAAACCTCAAGTGAGCAGATTTCAACACTACCCATCGAAGTAGAACGACAGATAGGAAGGACTAGATGTCAATAGTGCATATGCATATATATCTATCTAGGCCTACACATTGACTAGAGTGGTTGGCAAACATAATTAATACTAAGAATGACGTGAAACAGTTCTTATTGTGTAAGTTGTCACGATTTTAACATTGACAAACATTTCGAAGTAGTATTTCTCTACTGTTTGTTGTATTGTGTTAAAAACTAATTGCTCAAGACGGTTGTCATTTTTGTACTTATCAATCTTAGAATTGAGCGAGTGTACTATTTTGAAGTTTACACATTACTTCTAATTGACAATAATATGTATTATCAACTGTCGGAACCATATGTTGGATTTTGAGAAAACATATATTTAGAGTGACATTACTTTTTTCATGTAATAATAAAATAAAAAAATGAAAACATCTTTTTCTTATTGAATAAAATAGCGATCTAGTTGTGGAATCTTTTTTTCTACCTTATTCAAGTAACAACAACAACAACGACGACAACAAAAAATGAATTAAATTTCAATCAAAGCGAGTATACTCTATAACAGGTAATTGTTGGTGAATAGGAAGGATGTTTAGTGGCCTCAATTAGTGGTTTGCGTGACCAAAAAACATATGTATTGTTCGAAGAATGCATGTGCGTGATGTCAATTAGAGTACAACAAGCTGACCATAGTGCACAAAAAGAAAAATATAATGTATCTAAATTTATAACAAGCGGATACAGAACAGGTTTATTCTTGACAAAAACGCAACCTGTTTCGAAATCAATTAGAAAAAGATTCTCTCAGCTAACCAAAATGTAATTTTGAATAATTTTTCTTATGCTAACAAAACACTAAAAATACGACTAGTCACAATTAATAATCTTTCTTGTTGTACTTACTTCGTTGTTTTCTTTAGACAAATGGTTAGCGTAAGCACAAGATTCTACGGAAGATCTTTGCTTTTTCTATCTTGTATTTCTGTTTCTTCTCTTTGCCTATTCCCTATCATTATAACGAAAATAGTTTTCCTTTTTTTTACTTCACACTCGTCATCTTTTCTGCTAGTCTAGAAGTATCGTGCATTTGACACACACACATACATAAATGCGATGCTGTGAACGCTAAAAAAATCTCAATGGATACTAATCTCTTTTCTTTTCTTTTCTCGTTCTCTCTTTTTCTTTTTGTCTGACAATCAAACAAGAGACGTTCGAAACTGCAGATGAGCAGTATAGTAGTGGCTACTGCTGCTGCTATTTTTACTAGTCGATGAATGATGAGAAAGAAGAGAATCGCATTTCTCGTAACTACTGTCGCATCAACATTAGAACACTAAAATCAACGATGCTCAAAGAATGTAATCAGATTATATACGACGAAAAAGAGAGGATGAATATTGATTCTTGAAGTATAATGAGAAATTTAGTCTAGCTAACATTTAGCTCCTTAATAAATATAGACTACCAAGTATGAGCGCACTATTTTTTATAAAAATCTGCGCATCTAGTCAGGAAGCAATTTTTGAGCAAACACTTTTTTCAAAATGCAGCTTCCTGCATTGCTTTTGACGGCTTAGAGGGGCGATCGTACACCCACACCCTCTCGACAATGTGCTCCGATCATAATTGGATTGAAGGCATCATTTATTTCTTTTATTGATAGTATAACATGAGCATAGATAGTTCATTACCTGAACAAAACTAGCGTAAATAAGAATAGAGCACGTTAGTCGAAGCCAAAAATCTGAAAGGAAAGAGACTACCAGATTATTATTGAATATGAAAAGAAGAAGTAGCTATAGCTGAAGAAGAACAAGAAAAAAGAAAAAATGGGAAAAAACAAGATAGACAGGGAGCAAGACGATCCGGGCCGTTAATCAACAATCTCATCTCTCTCTCTTCGTCGTCGTCGTCTTCTTGACTCTCATTTTGTGTTACTACTACTATTACTACTCAGGCTGCTCTATCCATTGTCAGAACAATTTTCACCCTGGCATGCGTACATGCGCCATTATTCGCACAGTCACAGAATTTATCTTCATACGATTATCATTGACGAACACGAGGCAAATGTGAAAACCACGTTTTTTAGCAGAACTAATTAATGTATGTGTTGTTCATCTATATTTCGTGTTGAGATCTCATCAACATAAATCTATTCCTTAAAAAACAACTAATACAAACATGGATAAATTATATGTTCGAATTTCTTTTCATATTCTATTCTATTTTATTTTTACTTGGATATAAAAGTTTTCTTTTCTTTTTTAAATTACAATTGTGATATTTATAGATTAGTTAAAACTTCTCATTATACCTACATATTCCTGTATAGTTTCAAGAAAATAGAAGGTGAGATTCTCGATGGAATATTCCCCGGTGAAGGTACATACGATGGATGTTGATAGTGCCATGAAAAAAGAAAAAGAAAACCTTTATATTTACATTTTCTTTTTGTTGTCATCATGGACTAGACAATATATAAAAATAGCACACTTGTATCTTATCTGTACAATGAATAAAGAATGGAAAATGAAAATTGATGGTGCCACTTCTTGATTGACTGTTAAGTATGATTAGAATGATGAGTTTACTGTGCAAATGCATACAATCGATAATTGTTCCAGTGCTCTGTAGATAGTTGATGATGCCGAACACATTAGCACATGATGCCAAAGGGTGGGCGAACAGCAATCGACAAACAGGCAAGATTAACATTTCTACGCAGTCAGATAGATATCTAATGAGTGTACATAGAGAAATGGCTCAACTAGCATATTTTGTTGTCTTGGCATATATTTAAAAATACAACGCATGTATATATATATATATCGGCATTGATCTACCTTTTTTCACACACAACCAAACGACTTTGCTATGATACTCGGCAAGACTTTTAAGAAATCGATTTTCATACAAATAAAAACCATCCTGCTATACTTACAGAGTATAGAAGAATAAAAAGATAGCAATCGACAAAATCTTCGTAAGATTTTGAATTAACAAATGTTTCCCGATAGAAAATAATAAATTGTTTCTTTTCTTTTTCTTTTTCCTTTTCTGTCTCGTGGTTCTTTTCTATAGTTGCAACGTGGATGAGTATTAGAGTAGGAATCTTGTTTGTTATTGCCATTTAGGTTTTACTCGTATGGCAAAAGAAAAAAGTCATTGGCACTAATGTCTATTCAATGACGTAGGCAATGCATGCAATCATAGTAGAAAGAACGAGAACGACCAAAGAAAATAGACTCGTCGTTGGTGCCGCTAAGATGTTGTTGCTCGAGTGTAACATAGGATTCTCTTTTTTGAGGATACTCTTGCACACTATTACAGAAACAATCATTCGATAGCCGAAAGCGAAGAACGTTCGTCGAATAAAAGAAGAAACTAGAATCTTACACGTTTTCGTGGCATAATCTCGGTTTCCCTCTATGTCTTTTTTTTTTTATCACAATAGATGTCTGTCACTACGTTCTAATACAAGACCAACGGTAGACTATCTAGATTTATATGGGAGACGATGTATTTATAGATATATATTTCTTTGTTGATTTGTTGACTGAATGTAGTATGGAAAATGTGAGATTTAGACAGGACCAGACGCTCGTTGATATTAATGATTTTCTTTTGCATCTTCGAATGTATTCATTGGTTGAAATATTTCAATACTCCAATACTCCAACAAATACGTTCCGTTACTGAATAGCTGATTAAACACTATACATACTTACTTTTAAAATACTCTGGATTGAGGATTCATTTCCTAACAGAAAATATCTTATTTCAAGGGTACTCATTCCTATGGCTTAGCGCGTACTTCAAAAAGCAAACGGAAAGACATGAAAAAACATATGCAATGAAGCATAAAATCGATGAAATTCTATCGCCTATGACTGTCTACTGCTAATGAAATTTAACTAAAATGTTAGATAGCGGCCCTATCTGTGACCAGTACCTCTCTCTCTTTGTTCTCATATCTTCTATTGGTCAAGAGACCTAAGCGAAGTTGTATGGGGAAGAGAAGTTAGAATTGTTAAATAAAAAGTAGACAAGTTAGAGGACAGTCTAGCAATTGATGCCGTGACCCGCTTTGGGAATTCGTCGAGTATATATTTGATGATTTTGATTTTGATTTCCTGACCTATTTCGTGACTGTATACTTATTTGCTGTTCTAACTTGGTCTTGATTCTGTATGGTGAAAACTCGTTTACAACATCATCAATTATTTGCACAAGAAGTACAACGTTTATCTCTTATCGATATGGAACCTTCTGACATCTCATCTTCTTCTAATTCGATTGTTTATCGACCATTATTTACATCTAACATGGAAGCACAATGTATGAGCACACTAGCAAAAGAGCAGGGCAAAACATTAACCAAATTCAGTGGCTCTGAATCGGAAGATGTTACTCATTGACTTAAACACATTGAAGAAGGTTTTGACTGTGCTCTAATGCAATCGTTCAATAAATATCTCGCGAGCCAGCCTTATTTAATGGACGCAGCACTTAAATGGATCCACTTTAACAAGTCAAACATGTCTGATTGGTCTTCATTTAAAATTGCTATTGTTCAAGCTTATCAATCAACAATAACCCCATTTCAATCTAGCACACCGTCAACAACAACAACCAAGACACCATCAGCAGCTTCACCTGGACAAGTCACCTCCACATTTTTCGATAATGATACGTCAAGTAAACATCAAAATCAAGATTTTCAAATACATAAAATAAAAAAACATTGGTCCATTACTGCTAATTATGTTATTGATGATTACAATGTCCTTTATAAAGTCGTTAATTGTAAATTTGGACAACACATTAATCTACGTTATTTGTCTGTTTCGTTAATTCCTAGTGTTTTATCAACTTATCACAACTCAACTTTTAATGGTGCTCATTTTGGTATTAAACGAACCTTTTACAAGATACGTGATCGTTCTTCTGGGCCGAATATGTACAAAGATATTGAAAAACACATTTTATCTTGTCTCAATTGTCGACAAAATAAACCTTCTCGTCGTAAACCAGATGGCCATTAACAATCCATTGAATCTCTCGTGGTGTGTAGGAGCGATTAGCTATGGACTATGTTGGACCTGGTCCTCAATCTAAGTCTGGTAAGAAATATTTCATTGTTCTTACAGATCTTTTTATCAAAAATTCGTAGTAACCAAAGCCGTTTATGATAATACTTCAACAACAGCTGCTCGGTTTTTATTATATGATGTATTTATGATATACGGTGTTCTATTAGACATTATTACAGATAATGGTCCTCACTTCACATCGTCGTTATACAAATCACTGCTCCAATCAACTAATTGCTGTCACGCAAAAACTACACCGTGCAACCCACAAGCGAATAGGTAATGTGAATGTCATAATGTTACACTAGTTCCTAATCTCGTTGCACTTTCAAATAATTCTCGATCGAATTGAGATGAAAAATTAGTGCCCATCACATGTAATTGTAACACAACTCAACATGCTTCAGCAGAGTGTACTCCATTTGAATTGATGTTCGCGCGTACACCTCGGCTTCTAGCTGATCTTCCTTCGAATCTCATAATTCCTACAGACGTTCAATATTATCAGGACACGATGACACAATTTATCGAGCATATTAAACTTGCGGCTTGGCACAATAACCTTAAACATTAGCATGCAGCTAAAGAACGATACGATCGTAATCGTTCAAACCCGCAATATCTTGTTGGTCAACACGTTTTAATCAGTAATCGTGATTCATCTCCTAATCAATTTTCTTCGAAATTTATCGGCCCGTACATAAGTATCAATAAACTTAATGACAAAACATACATGGTACAACATTTTACAACCGATCAACGAGCACAAGTGACAGTAAAAGATCTTATATCGATTAACCTAACGTCATCACTAATTGTAACAATCGAACTTCTCAATATCCACATAGACATATTTTTTTCTACGGGTAGTATCTCATTCCTATGATTTTTTTCTGTGTTATTTTTGTATTTATCACTATTTCTTTTCATTCTAATTCTTGTTATTTCAGTTTCTTTTTGTGTGCGTGTTATTTTCGTTATTTGGGTGATTACCTGTGTATTGTCGTGAACAGATGAAGTCGTTTCGTTCACCTATAAACGGTGGAAGTGTTAGGGAGTGGCGCTATCTGCGACCAGTACCTCTCTCTTTGTTCTCATATCTTCTATTGGTCAAGAGACCTAAGCGAAGTTGTATGGGGAAGAGAAGTTAGTTAGAGGTGTTAAATAAAAAGTAGACACGTTACAGTACAGTCTAGCATACGACTTGCTGAGGATCCCTTATGAACTAACTGCTTTATCAAAAAAAAAGAACGAACATATACATTTCTATATTCATATATCGGCAGATACGACTTTTTTTAGGTTTTCATATAAGGTCTTGATATGTATTTAATTGATTGATTCAATCGAGGGTGACAACTCTCAAGTGTTTGTGTTGTGTCATTTATCATCATAGAATGGTTTCGCTTAAAAGCGATGATTAGAAGAGCAAACCACATCCCATCAATCACTGGAAAATAGGATGAGAAACTCGTGTGACCTTGTTTGACATAAAGCTAAGAGCGACGTCAACAAGAGATCGAGAAAAACGGAACTTAATTGTTTACTGTCGAATGATCTCATTTTTCTCTTTGTTGCTTTGTTTCTTTTTGCCATTCAAAGATAGAGCCCATTAAAATGTTAACTAATGATGATGAATTAACTAATTAGCACAGTGGTAATCTATATTCAAGCATTATAGCATCCTCTTTGGACTAAAAACAGAGATGATATCATACGAATAAATGCATAAACTGTGCTAATATCAACAAAACGAGAAAAAAAAGCTTTTACTCACATTATTTAATGTATACATATATAGAAAGACGAGATGAAAAGATTATTTTATCTTTCCATTATGAGATTATTTCCACGCTAAAGACTACAATCATATCGGATGTTGTCATTCTATTTCATGTATCAAAAAGATTTATGAATGCAAATCTGTTTTGATCTATTATGATGTTAAAGAAAGGAATGAATAGCCTTTTTTCTTCTGAAAACATATATAATAAATTATCCGGAAAAATAATGCTATTTAATAAATAGAAGTTAACCTACGTTGTTTAAACAATAGAATTAATCAAGCATTTCTCATCTTTGTTGTCTATCTGCTTCTAATAAAATTAAAATGAAGCTCAAGAGAATCGTTTAATTTTGTACAAATATGTTTTCTCAGTTATTAACTAAATTATAGAACAGAAAAGAAAATAATCTGATTTTTTTTCTTTGTATCACCTGACGTGTGAGACATGCTAAATAATAATTTCATTCTTTTGACAAAGGAAGCGCTATTGCCATCTGGGATTATATTTGGCAATAATCATCTGTCTAATATGATACTCACTCGTTGACAATATCGTGATATTTAATTAACGCTAGAAGTATGTTGGAAAGCAGGTGAATGCTGAGTGCTCCGTTTCGATTTCTTTAAGTTGATGTTCTATTTCTCTTTTTCCTTTTCCTTTTTCTTTTTAATAATGTTATAACATCTCCATGAATACATAATACAAAGCAACGTTGCCTACTGTGCTACTGCTGCGCTTCAATTATTAGGAACACCGACCATGCGAACATAAATATAAAGGTGTGCATATATATACGTCAAATTAGCTTTCTAGATGCTCCTTAAGGGCTATTCTTCAACGACAAAGAAGTCTATGGAACTCATAAACCTTGATGTATTATTGTCTCGAATATATATATATATACATCAAGATAGGCCAAAAAACAGACTTATGCTAAGAATGAAAGAGCCATGCAACTAGAGTTGGCTTTTTTTTTGTGTCCCTGTCGTTTACTTAGCTGACAAAGAGGGTCAACAAGATTGTTATCAATCTGTTGTTGATATTATTATCGTCATCATCGCAGATGAATGTGTGGATATATATATATATATATATATCAACATAGTCTGAAAAAGAAATGACATACATTCACTACTCGAATATCAACAATCAAACGATGAATATTGATAAATAATGTGTATTATCTAAATACAAACAAATATTCAATAATTGTTAATCTTTTAAAGATAAGTTTTGTGTTTATGGCAAAGAGAAATACTTCTATTTATGATTTTAGACTATACAGCTCTTATAGTCGATCTTACTTTGTATTTAGTCGTTGATAATGACTAAAGCGAGAAAGACCAATGAGATCAAATATATATCGATATCTCATCTCTTGAAATTATTAATGACAGAATAATTATGATAATGATTCAATCATTGAAACTCGACCGATTCTATTTTCATCGTTACATTTACTATCAAAAGAAGCGATTGATAAGGCACTAACATTTATACATAACTGTATTAGATAATGGTGATTTTATTGATTGATTGTCATTTATTAAAAAATCTTGGAATTCTTTTTTTTCTCTGCAAAATATTCAAAAATATGATCTTTCATTCATTATCGCCTCAGTTTAGCATAAATATATTTTTCATGCAATAATAATGAATTAAATTTTTGAAAATATGAATAATTCGCTAAGCAACCATAACGATGTCTTCTTTGAAAAATTTTGGAAATTTTTAAAGAAGAGAAAGAAAGTTTATTTTCAGCACCATAACGTAGTATCAATGAATAACGAGTAGTGTGTTCCTTGGTATCGAATGAGGAAAATTCAGCATTGAATTCATACAGAAATACAACTAAGCACCACCAATCAACTCGTATACCTGAAATATATTTTAGAAAGAATTAAATATAATAGTCAAATTAATATATTTATATATCCTGCCATGACCTTTCACGGGATAAAATCTCAGGTACTCCATCAAGATGTGTTCGTTTTGGAGCTATTTTAGCAAAACTATCATAGTTAATCAAGCAATTTTCTGAATAAATATTAGAATTATAAAATAATACTGGTCACATTCCAAATCTTTATAATTGAAAAGAAAAAGAATAGTTTAAGTTACGATTAACTTTTTATTTTCTTCTAACAAAATATCAAGGTATTGTAAATATTCAAAGAGACTTCTTAGCGTGGAAGTGATTTTGAAAGTTGATTGTTCTTGTACTTTCGAATAATATAGGACATCTACAAATCAGATTTACTAATAAACTAGAAAATCTCTTCATGACAAGATAATCTAATTTTTCAAAAATCATTAAAACGGATTGCTAAAAAGAGACAATAGGAATAAATCTGCTTAATTTTATCTATATTAGTTTTCTATTGCATAAAAATATGTCAAACTTTTAATCTCAATAATTTTGATTGATTAAAACAGCTCAAGTCACACCGAAATCAGTAATCGCTTATTGATAGATTTACTTGGATATATATGACTTCAGTATTTGGATAACGCAAACTTTTGAAAGTATCATGTCTCATAAATTTGACAAAGAAATCAAGATCTGTCCAGTGATTGATTTAGTAGATTAATCTCTTTTGTACAAATATGACTAACTATAGCATTAGTTAGTCAATCGACCTATCACAGCATTTTTGTACACACTTACTTGAACTTTATATAGACATCTATTAACCTTAAAAAACTAGTCTATGAAAGGTTCATGGTACCACAATGATTCACTTAATATATTATGGACACATATCAAATAACTTCGAGAATCAATAATGACAACTAAAACTTGATAGAAATTATGAATACTTGAACCATGAATTCTGTATGTCATGTGTCATGTTCGCAAGTTCAAACATATTAAATTATTCTATCAAGAGACCAACAGACTTATCTCATATTCTTTGCTATATTTTCGCATGCCTCTTTGTTGTTGAAGTTTATTCAGAAGTTTTACAAAGGCTAGTTAGATTCTTTTATCGATTTACAACATTCCTGGAACGCTGTAATCATATTGTATTAGCAGAAGTGTGAACAGCAGCAAAATACAATTTAGTATATGCATAATTCTTCCTCGTATATCTCGGAAAATAGTTTCCAGTGGAACAATCTATCAAAAAGAGGTACATAGAGAACTGATAGCTAGCCTTTCTCGATATAGAAAAATTTCTTTATGATACAACATTCAATACTATGAAAAATATTTGCATAACAATATATTTACATTCTGATAGAAATTTAGTTTATTCTACTAATGATATAAGCATGGAAATGCCAAAAAAAATGAAAATAGATCAACAAGATTTGTCTCACACTATCATCAATGAATTCTGAGCATAGATATAGATGTGCATTATCTTTAAGTTTGAATAATAAATCAACAATAAGTGGCAATTTAATTGTTTGTAAAAGATGATATTCATTAATAACATATCAAGTTGGTTTACATTTAACAATATGTTGTTTTTCAAGAATTTTCATGGCTACTCATTTTCTTTTGTGAATAGTAAGAACAATTGTACCAAAACTTCTGCTACTAAATATATTATTGAACAATAAAATTCTTTCGTGACAATACACTTTTAATTACCATAGAATCATGCTAAAATTATTTTTTTTGCCCTCATTGAACTAATCAGGCATAAGTAAATCTATCATATGCTCAGAAAACATGAGTCTATCACGAGTAAATAAAATACTCAAACAAGCATGCTTCCTTCATAGTTAACTATATGTACAATTAGTATCGTTTATTTAAATGAAAAATCAAATGTTTTATTGCAAGTTTAAAATAGAAAGCATTTGCTTATAGTTCATGAACAATCAATCAGACTATCAAATAGAACAAATGCTTGTCTCTCTCTCTTTCTCTCTTTACATAACTCATTTTAATGTAGCAATTGTGAAAAAATGATAATCAATATGAAATTGACTGTATTTTTTTAGTTTGATTAGTCAATTGAATTATTACGGAATACTTTATTTGCTATCTTGATAGAGAGGGTATAGATTGGTTTAAGTCCAATAAGATTTGACTAAAAGACTAATCATGTTTCCGACAGTTTATGTATAAGAGGGATCTGAAAGCACTCTTAATTGTTCATTGCTCTCTTTCTTTCCTTCGTTTACGAAAGATTTGTTCCATATGGTAAAATCCTTTTGCTTGTGCACATATCATATTGAACTTCTTGATCCGGAATTGAGCCGAATTAAATACATCAACAACCGAACGAACAAGTGAGAAATCGCTCAAGAAAAATGGACGAAGAGAGAAATGTATTCACTAATACTAATGGAATAGCGGAAGAGAAAAAACCAAGAGCGAGAAAACGAGAAGGAGTTGAGAGCAGACGAAGTGAAATCAATCCAAAAGCATTAACAAATAATTTCAGCTGCATCATAATTTTCATTGATATTGGTCGCTGCTCCTATGTGACACAAAAAACGATCCTGAATTGTTTATATATATATATATATGGATGCATGATTATTTTGTCTATTCACTCGAATATAAACAGATACTAAAAGACTCCTCGATCCATTTCCGAACCAATATACTTTACATGTTACTTTGCTCATTTCTTTCTTTTTATACTATTGTTCTAGGTTATATTTAGCAATGAAAAAGTTATCAAGTCTATTTACATTTGTCGTTTTATTGATGATCCTCATATTTAGAATTGCGCATACAGGTAGGTTGAGTTCTTTTTTTATTTTCAATTAAATAAAATCTTACATGAATCTATTAATTAGGTGCAACTGCATCAACTGATGATAAATCATCAATAGTTGAAAGTAGCGCAAGTGATGAAAATGACGCTTCATTACGAAATAAAAAGGAAACAGGTATATCAACAGCGCAACAAATGATTCCATCACCACTTCGTCGTCATCATCTGAAATTTGGTGTTCTTGGAAAACGCTATTCTTATGGTTATTTGGGTAAACGAGATGATGGTAATGAAGAAAAAATACTCATTTTTAATTGAAGCAAATTCATTATTTACTTTAATTATTTTTTTAATGCTCTAGAATCCAATGTTGATGATGACTTTCAAGAATGGTTAAATAATAGAGGTCGACGACGTGTCGGCCGACCACAATACGGATTATTAGGTTAAAAACTTTCTTTGTACGTTGTCAACATTGTACAAATATTTTAAAATAAAAAATATTCATCTCACCAATTATTATTTTTTTCTATTATCCTAATCATTCATTAATATAAGAATATAAATACTTCAGGTGCATTATTTTGATTAAATTTTTTCTTTTGATCACTGAAAAAAGTAAAATCATGATATATATATATAGAGAGTGGTAGATCCAAATTCCATCACTGATTTTGAAAAGCTCCAGTAAACCTCTATATTACGGCTTCCTGAAGCCCGTTTGAGCTGATTTTTAGATTCCGGAATAGACAAAACATTTTTCTATCGAATTGTATAATTTTCATCAAGATACGATTCGTTTTGAGTGAACAGCAACAAAGACACAAACACCTATTTTCATTTTTGTCCCGTTCTGTCCATGTTTGAATTCCATCATTCAAGTCATTATTCTTTCCCAATTCCATCATTTCCAGCGAAAATGTACAAATTTTGTTAAAAAACTTAGTTTTCGAGCGGAAGGTTGGCATCTTTCCGAAAACAAATTACATCATTTGATTCAGGAGATCAAACTCTATCGATTGATATGTTTCTTATTACGAATAAATATATATTTTATATATTTTTTCTCGTAACAATCAACTTTTTCGTGCGATGCAATTAAGTAGTGTAACTTGATTCCATCACACCAGCTATTCCTCTTTCCTTATTTCATCATGTAATAGAAAATACACGTAAAATTGTCCATCATCAGTAATAAAAACATTGGCGCTAGATCAACTACAAAATTTTATTGAACAATCTATACAAAAAATTTAGCTGAACTCAGGGGCTATCTGTTAATGCAAAGTCAGAGGATTTATACGTAAAATTGATTGAGTTTTTTAAAATAGAGGACCATGCGTTAATTTTTACTAGAATTTTGGCATGTAGCATTTTTCTATCTTTGAGCAGTAATCACAATGATTAATTAAGACGAAGTATGTAAAGTAATATTAAGTGTTCTATATCATTATAACTGTCTAATTTTTTACGTACGAGTTGATTGCTAGATCCAATAATAATTAATGTACATGTACATTTTACAAATTAGCTTATAATTAAGCCAATTTGTGTAATAGTGTTATAGAACGAATATTCTCTATTTACTTGACGCATTAGTATCATCATTTCTTTGCAATGAAGAATAATATCACTACATGATTAAAACTTCTTTTTTTGCGTTATTTTAATTTGCTGATGGATTCCTGAGAAACTCCTGTCTCATATGATGGGAATGTAAACAAATCCATAAGACAAAATCCTCTGACTTTTCATTAACAGATAGCCACTGAGTTCAGCTACATTTTTTGTAAAGATTGTTTAGTAAAATTATGTAGTTGATCTAGCGCCAATGTTTTTATTACTGATGATGAACAATTTTACATGTATTTTCTATTACATGATGAAATAAGGAAAGAGGAATAGGTGGTGTGATGGAATTAAGTTACACTACTTAATTGCATCACACGAAAAAGTTGATTGTTACGAGAAAAAATATATAAAAGATATATTTATTCGTAATAAGAAACATATCAATCGATAGAGCTTGATCTCCTGAATCAAATGATGTAATTTTCCTTCGAAAAAATTATGATATTCTGAGTGAAAACATGTTTTTTATGCCAATCCTATGCATTTTGGCTGGAATGATGTAATTAAGACATGGGCAGAACGGGACAAAAATGAAAGTAGGTGTTTGTGTCTTTGTTGCTGCTCACTCAAAACGAATCGTATCTTGATGAAAATTATACAATTCGATAGAAAAATGTTTTGTCTATTCCGGAATCTAAAAATCAGCTCAAACGGACTTCGGGAAGCGGAGATATTCGATATTTTTTATCAGATTTGAATATCGTGATGGAATTTGGAACAACCACTCTATATATATATGGCACGCTTATATGCAGAGGATAAAAAATCTTCATCGTTGAATCGTAGCAACGCGATAATTATCGATTACATAAGCATTATCGAATGATGCTCACTATTAGAATTGATTGGTTATTTCCAATATTTTGATTAAAATCAAACAAATTTGTTGACGGCACTTTTAAATCCAATTTGAAAAGCAAATTTAGAATGCCATATAAAACTAAATTTATTTATAGTTTTAATCTACTTAAAAGAAAAAATGCTTCAAGAGCAAACGCAAATATAGTAGAATAAAAAACGCTTTTGACTTATATCTCTGTCAATTATTAGCAGTAGCATGCCGTTGGTTCTGAGTTGAATTTTGTGATTAGACATTGTTGGGTAGGTTAGTCTATATTGAACCAAAATAATCACTACTGAATAAGTTAATATAAAATAAGCATTGAAGCCTTCAATATACTACTGAGCTAGCCTCAACATAAAAGTAATTGAACAACTCAGATATGTTATTTAAAAAATGAATCAGAGATCAAGTAAAAGTATTTGTCACATTATATTCATCAAAATCTAAAAATTCTTCGTCATCTCTTTTTGTATAACTGATCGCGTAAAACTTCATAAAGAAATTTAATTGATTATTCATTAGAATGTTCAATTTTGTGATTCATTACGTCAAGCATGACAGAGAGTATTATTAAAAAATTGCATCACTGATATCAAAGTATTGTTTTGTAAAAATAGCTTTCATGTTTTTCTTAGATTTTAATCAGTAGCTGTTTATTTAAGCAACATAAATTATTCTTGGCTCACTACACAAACAAAAGCAAAATATGATTGCAAATAATTGTATCTCATTAATTGTAAATCGATGATTAGCGTTTTGTATTGCCGTATAACTAAAAAATAAATAGACAGAAATTAAAAAAAAAATTTATTAATACAATTTACTTTATCAACGGCAAGTATCAGTTCATCGATTTTCTCCGGAAATTCAGTTACGGGATTTGTTTTTGTTTGAATTTTTCGTTTTCGTGTAGACATACCTAATGAAATAAAGTTAGCTCGTGTTTATTCAAAATAATTGTTAATTACTTAGCCATTGTCTTATTTTATCAATAGTAAAGTGAACTAATTCGACTTCATTTTCATGATTGAATGGCTCACGACGTACAATGTTGAAATTATCAACTATAATTGATACAAACATAGTCGTGAGCATAAATACGACGAGTAAAATAAATAAAAACAAAGACACGGCAGCTATGAATGTATCGATCTTCTTTAAATCAGGTATTGTCGATAAGTGCCTTGAACTCATTTGAAAACAGGTTAACGCTGTATCTAACCATGATGAATATTGTCTTACATAGGAATGGTATAATAAATAAAATAATGAATTGAAAGCAACAAATATCACTACAAATATAAGAAAAAAACCCAACAATTGTTTAGCAGACTTTTTTAATGTTAATGTTAATAGTGACAAATGGCGATTAATACGAAGCAGACGAAGTCTAAAATAACATATACTTGATATATATATATATATATACATATGAATTTAAAATAACTAGGATTTTATCAAATAGGAATCATGCTGAGACCAAAGAATTTGAAAATCAATGAAGCTCGTATTGAAAATATCCATTGGAAATGATTTAATAAAATCAAAAGATTAAAAATTGTCTTGTTTTTCTAATTTTAAGTATAAATTGTTTAAAGGATACCTATCACAGATGGCGACAAATACAATTTATATGTAATTTATCCAAGACTGTATATCAATAGTATCATGGTTTAAAAGAGGTATGGGGGTAAACCAGCGAAAAAAGTTTGAGCGAAGAGATATCCGCTGAAAATGTTTTTTGCTGTTATAATTTTCGCGCTTTTTTTTCGCTGAAAATACATTTCGCTATTTTTATTTTCGCTCAATGGACACCATATCGTTTTTAGCTTTTATAAATTCTCCTTAAAAATTTGTACTCACATCTTAATAGTGCCAAAAAAACAGCAAAAACCAAGTAGATAAGTTAAGAGAGTATCAAGGTAAGCGAAAAATGTTAAACTTATTGGCCTGAGTCCTTTAACACTTTTCAATGAATTTGATAATTTCTTCATTTCTGTTTGTCGAAAAATATGTATCACAACGGCAGCCCATGAACATACAATAATGCCCCAATTGATGTATGACCAAAATTCTTTTATATAATTTTGGCGTTTTTTTATTAAAAGTTTAATTTCTTTCACCATATAATAAATAATTAGAATAAGATAAATAAAACAATAGATAAGATCGGCTCCTGTATATAATTGAACAAGTCTAAATGGTTGAAATGATGCTCGAAAAATAACCTGTCTTATATCAGGCAATTGTTCAAGAATAAATGAACAATGAACAAATAAATTAGCATTTGGATTATATAGAGCAAGCGTTAGAAAAACTGCTCGAGTATATCGATCAATCCAACGATGATTTTGAAGATAAAGAAATCCATTTCTAATGGTATCATTCGAGTCTCCTTGTATTTCATGAATGTAACCACCTGGCATGTAGGTTGCATGGGGTGTTGAATAAACTAATGTATAATCTTCACTTGGTTGATAAGTAAAAGTTTTAAGAAATTTTGGTGAATCATTCGCATAGATATTAAAGCCAAATGGAATTTTAGCTTCATTATACCAAGTATAAGGTAGATTACAATCATCAATGTCCATTTGACCTTGTAGCACAGTTCTTGGGCATGTGTCTAAAAGCATTTCATTTTATGTAACGTATGAACATAGTTCTACATATATTCATGGAAACTGAGATAACGATAATATATGTATGTATGAAAAAGTAGTTAATGTTAGTTTTGAAAAGAAAAACTGATGAGTATTTTATGAGCGATTTCTTAATATAAATTCCATCGTTAAGAAAAAGCTTAAATCGCATCGAATAATTCATCGTAGACTTGCTCAAAGTATCTTCTAAAATGATTTCAGAGAAATTGTCTATTATAAAAATAAGAAAAAAGTAGCTATTCTCACAGCCATTTCTTAACAAGACGGCTATGAATTTTCAGTAACGAATGTATAATTTTCCAAAAATTCAGTATGAAAATCTAAGATTTGTCTAATTTTCTAGAATGTTTACTTGCCCGTTTCGACGTATATCTGTTTATTCCAGATTGATTATAATCTCCTCAATTGATACGCTAGTTGCTACAAAATCTCGATCAAAAACCTTCAAAATAGACTAGATAAAAAATAGATATCGATATACGATTCAATGTATCTTTATCGTCTCTATCTCAGAAAACATATTCAATAGAATACGTCGCGTCCACTTTTGACTTCGAAAATATCTCCATATTTACATCAGCACCAAGTTAATATCTACATACCATTCTTAACGCGTAATTGTCTTAATGTAGGCCAACCAATGACTCTATTTGTTTTAGTCATTTTTTGTAATACTTTTGCTGTTGTACTATAATCATTCCATCGCGTTAGTATATATTTATTAGGAAAATCATCTTGTAACCATTTCCAGTAATCTACAACTGATAGAATACTTCCAGACACCACGGCATATTTATTTCCTCTTTTAGAACGTTCGAATCCACGAGAAAGATCCGAGCCTAAATATTCCTTTCGTAAATGATCAACCATGTGATGTGCACTTCCAACATCACGATTAGCAAAGCTGATTGCATAAAGAACTCCAAGAAACAATAAAAGAAAAAATAATTCACGTAAAATGGCCCATGATTTCATTTCTTTCAGACGATTTTCGCGTAATATCTTTAAGGCAGCTTTTTCACGTTTTGCACGAGAAGGATCGAGATGAATTTTAGCTAGAAGAGATTTTGGCTAAAAGCAAAAAAAACAAAACTTCATAATGATGAAAAGTAAAAGAGCAGCATTTTGCTTTTAATTTTTACTGGAAATTTCTTATGTGCATCTTCACTTGAAACTGTAAAATCTTCAACGGGATCTTGATGTTCAATAAAAGCTTCAGTTTGAGATTTTTTTCGACAAAGACACATAAATAAGAATGCCAGTGAAAGTACTTTTAGTGGTTGAGTAAGAAGTACAGAAGCGAAAAAGCTGGTCGGAACTGAACTAATCCATTTACGTATTTTTTTATCTTTATATTGAGCACTTCGCACGAGTATGAAAAATATCGAAGTCAAAACCATTAATAATGAAAGAACATAAGCAAGTATTAAACACCACCATGGAAAATAAAATTTTTTTTCTTTAACTTGAACCAAATGAGATGCAGTTTTTGTACTTGGCTCTTTACCTCGGATATTTTGAAGTGCTTCAGCAACAGGAGATATTACTCGAGGATGTCGTGGTTTTGATCGGCGAAATAGAGTGACCAGAAATAAACTTGGAAAGAATATAATGAGTTCCGAAAAAATACTAATGCTGATCTAAATAGATAACGGTTTTTTTCCTATTAAAAAAATATTGTTGACTGAAATCGATTATATTAGATGATAGAATTGCTTTTATTATGAGTTTTATTGAAATTGTTAGAGGAAATATGAACTGCTAGATATATTGAAGCATAGGAATAGAAATTTGAATCTTCGATTCTACGTATAGAACAGTTATCTTAGCAAAGTTCCTTTCTCTTGCTTCTCGATGGCAATTATCGTGATAGAAGCTGTAAGTATAACATCATAGAACATACATTGATGTCATATTATAATTATATTTTAATCACTTACGTACTGTATTTGTTGAAGATTAGCTATGTAAAACGATGATCAAGAAATAAGTCCCACAATATATCAAGTAAAAACATCGTACAACTCAAAAAAGTAATAATATAATACTTTACACTTCAATCCTGCAGAGCCTTACACAAATTACTTTTTTTAATAAATTTTCCCGAGAACTCTATGCCATTTATATTATCTTTGTTTGTTAATACATTAATATCAATTACTTTTCACTACTGAACTAAATCTATTAACTGAGCCCGTATGAATATATCGTATCAATGATGTAATCTTTAGTGTATTCTTTGTATCTCAAAACAAAATTTAGAAATCGTGCACTATATTTGCTGGTTAATATATCTTCATTTTATAGCTGATTTACGAATATTGCTCAATACAGATTATGATATATTCAAATATTTGAACTTCAGAAACGAATCTGAGTATACTTAGAAGTACATTTTAAGTCTGCATTGTTAAAATATCTCACACTATTTTTAAAGATTTCTGAAGTTCAAATAGAGTAAAAACAAGTTACAACCTCTTCTTTGGATATAAGAAATGGTCCAAGTGATAAACTGGATTCATTATCTTCATTCGTCGATGTTGCTTGTCTTGCATCATAGAACATAAGATTCATAAGCATACTCATGGAAAGTATTACAAAACAGCAAGTACATCGTTGTATACGAGTAAAACGAATGGCGGATGGTATATGATAAGCAAAAATCGAAAACCATATATGATTATCAGCCATTGATCGATAAGCATTTTTTGACAGAACATGTTTCAATTCTATTTGTTCAAGTTCACCTGCTGCATTTAACGTCACATCAATCTATAATAAAGTAAGTTTAATTTTTAAACATAACCAAAAAGCTATGTTTCCTGCAGCAAGAAATCCAAGGGAACACCGTATCTATCAGGCTATTGAATTACGGTTGAGAATTTTGTGATTATACTATTATGAAATGTTTCCTTATTTTCAAAAAATAATTTTTCTTTTATTCTCCTAGAGCTTTAAATCGTTTCTTCATAGGATAAAATCTAAATGAAGTATTACTAAAAATAACTTACTTCTCCTGAGTCTCCTTCAACTGCTAACCATTTTTCGCAGATAAAATAAGTTGTTTCCATCGTTTGCAAATCTCGAACTACAATATATTTTAGAAACCATGATGCATCTGAACCTTGACCAGAATTATCATGCCAAATACGTAGAAAATTCAGTTGACCAAGCGATCTTCATAGCCAAAAGTAGATAAATTCCTAATGAAAACAAATTAAAAATATTTTTGATAAACAAACCTTGGAACAGCCATAATGAACGAATCAACACATCCACGACATAGTGTTCGTCTATCAGCAGTTAATTTTCTTGCATAAGTTTCTTCTTCGCTGCCCGAAAGAATAAATTGGACCTAATATTTTAATGAATTCTTTATCATATTCTATTTCTTGCTTTGCTTACTTTTGATTTCGTACCAGCATTTGCTCTCATTCCAGTAAATACAACTAATTGATAAAGATATTTATCATTTCGGTTGTTATCACGAAGTGGCACAACCATGAGCTGCAGGAAAAAACTTAAATCAGTTCACAACGAAAATGATTCCTTTTTTTTAAATTACCATTTTAGCATCCGCACCATCTTTATAATATGAAAATATCATCGTCAAAATAAATAGTACAAATAAAATGCTTAATGTAACGTAAATTGTTACATTGTTTGCTGGGTTAAAATCTAATGCATGCCAAGGAATAGGATCCGGCAGTACAACAAAGCCTGCAGCATATGTTGTCAAATGTGTTGAATAACATTGTGTAAAAGTTTCACTTGTTTTAGGTCCAACCTAATTACAATAATGAAAATCTTGATCGTTATTTTCCTTTTTCTTACTTTCAATCCATCTGATTGCCAATTATTATTACTATCAAGATAATAACAGCCGGATGTATAAATACGAATAGAATAATCCGAGGAAAACTGAATACTATCACTAAGATTATCTTTATTACATTGTTTCATTTCACGAATACCAACAATAGCCCATTGATGATGTGAAATTCGAGTGTTATCTATAAAGTATGTATATTTTGAAGTATTAGATTTTCGATCTAAATAAAATTTAAAAATAGTCTTTTTGCTTTAATCATAAATTTGAATAGTTATAAAATAACCTTTTGGACACATGAGTTTCCAATCATCAATAAGGTTTGCTTCGTAATTAGGTGCTCCATTAAAACGAATAATAAATAAATAGGAAAGATCTTTGTTTTCCGGCTCGATGTCAATGTGAAGTGAAATTGATAAATTAACGTCATGTGTTAAATTAACTGAATAAAATTTAAATTTTAAATTATTCGGTGATAATGTAACGTTTTCACGGAACATAGGCGGCATTATAGTATTAGTTTTACGTGGTATGACAATTTCGAAGGGATCTGTTGTATTTTTAATATGCATTATTTTACCATATTGGTCGTGTAACGTTAATGAAACAACTGATGAATATGGTAAGGTAATTAACTGAATAGACAACAAGCAAAAGTGTATATTTGAAAGAAAGAAAAATTGTTCTTCTCACTTTGATTACAGCAGATTTATTAATATTCAATTGTGGAAATCGAACATCAGCACCATTTGCTTGAAGTAGATGTTTTCCTGCTAGATTATTTGGTGACACTTTTTCCATAGTGATAGAAGTCGCTGGAGAATTCCATTGAAATCTTTCACTAATATTTGAATTTTCGTTGAGTTCATCCACAATGTTTTGTAATTGTGAATCCAATGAATTAATCTGTAAATTTTAAAGAAGTTTATTAATAATGAATTATATTCTATTTACAATTTGTTGTCGCCAATGCATATTTTCATTTGTATCAATATTTTGTACGTCGATCAAATTCGTTTGTAAAGTGAATGCATCAAGAAGACTATCGTGTTCAAATATGTTTTCAAAATTATTTTTATTATAACTAAAGTGACTTGGTTGATTTGAACGACAAACTGCATCTACTTTTAAATCATGAAAATTATCTAAAGATTTTATTTCTTGTTTTATGATGAATAATTTTTTTAATTGTATTTTTCTACACTGACCTTCTTTTAAACATATTTTGGGATGTTGAATTTGCTCTTTGTGTAGACCATATTCGAATGGATTGAAAATTCCATCTTTGTCAACGAAAATACAAAAAAATGTTTTATTATGAATTATCAAACAAACAGTATTATCTTCTAGGTGTACTTTAAAACTGTGTCGTTTTGTCTAAGTTAATTTTTTTAGCCTACGTACTTTTATGATCAAATGACAGTATATCATCCGTATAGGCCAGAATCAAATTTCGATCATCGATAATAATGACTATTTAAATTCAATCAATTAAAGTCAAACGAAGTCCACCATACTTACAAAGTAGCACAACAATTTTCCACACAGGGAACATGATGGCAACTATTAAAAAATTCGTCTGTTACATGAATTTACTTCTCAACATTTTATCATCGTTAGATCAATATTCCGTAAGCATGATTTCAAACATATGGACAACAAAAAGAGGAAGCTGTATAACATGTTTTTAATGAATTTATATGATAAATATTTATTTGAAAAAATAACTTAATATACTATCACGCATAGATTTACGTCAATGCTTTATTAAATTTTCTATGTGACTTGCTCAAATTTCTCATCGAGGAATGATATCTTTTCATTATTTTACTATGAAAATTTTGAAAAACAAAGCAACATTATTTTTTCTAAATTGAAAATGATATAATAAAAAAAGTATAGTCCAAGTGTTTGTTTATTTAATAAAAAAACTTGTATAAAAATGTATATAATTTGAAAAAATCTCTATTTAGATTTCTGTTCATAGCATAAGCAATACATAGTATTCAAGTTTTTCCATTTGAATTACTTCCAGGATGTGCAGCAGCATAATTTGACGGCTTATCACTGGGCATTGATTGTTGATTGATGGGTTGCTGTATTTGCGCTTGTTGATTATATGAGGCTGGCGGCGGGGGTGGTGGGTAATATCCACTATACATAGGTTGACCGTAAGGACCGTATGGTTGAGAGGGTGGATGGTTTTGAGGTGCTACTTGTGGTGGATTATTCTTCTTACAACACATTGAATAAATAGTAAAAGCAAGACCGATCACAGTAGCAAGACCTAAGACACCTCCGACGATAATACTAACAAGATCTGTAGTACTGAAACTGCCAACACTTGACATTTTAGAATAATGCTAAGCAATAGTGGACAAGATGTGTAATATGCTTCAAAATAATTTGTTTCCTACTAGTGAGAGAACAGACACGTTTTGAATTCAATATTGTTTATTCTAACATTCGAAAGAATGCACTTGTTTATAAAAGGATTCAAGTATAGAAATGAAAAAGAAAAGACGTCAAAAAGAAAAAACTTTTCTATTTTACATCGCCGAAAAGCAAGAAATCCAACGTATGGTACAACAAAAAAGAATGTATTTATATGCTTAAGGAAATCTTTGCAAACTTCTATTGAGATAAATTAGACACCATTCGACTTTATTTCAGATCAATCATAGACAGAATTATATTTGAGAGAACCATGAGCATATTGTGAATTTTTAAATATCCTAAAGAGTTTGATTGCCATTGATTCATTTTTCCGCTCGTATATAAGTGTCATTATTCACTTATTCTTCTGTGTTGCATCTTCCGTATTCAGCATCTAGACTATTTAAATATATAACTTTAGTAAATCCGAATATCTAGTTGACATTTAGAATTTTCTCACTATATTTGTTAGTCAACAGTACTACAAAAATAAAAGCTGAAATAGAATATCATATTATGTAGCATCGACTACGTGCTTTTTTCTATATTAAATTTTATTTCATTCGATCTGTTTTTTTTGTTGCAATATAATTATTAACAAAAAATATCATGATCTATAGACAAAGTTTGTAAAATCGCTAGATTTTATCTTTATCTTGTTTTCTTATAGAAAAGTAGGCATACTAATGATTTTATTAATCGAAATACATTCAGTAAAACAAATTCAACCAAGAAATTGTAATTGTCTAAATTTTCCATCTAAAGAAAAAGTTCACTCATACTTAAAACTATTTAACATCGATTTTATTGTTTATTGGACTCCTGGTACAAAAACCCCATGCATCTATCATCCACCAATTGCAGTCAAATCAGTTGTTTTTAGATACAAAATTAGCAACTGTGTGTTGCAAGTAGTGCTTAGTGATGCTGATATTATATGTTTTTCGTGTTACATAAATTACACAATCTTTTAAAAATCACGCCTTTGAAAAGCCAAAAAAGAAAAGTAATGATGAATATGACGATTTATTATTAAAATTTCATGACAAGGAATATTTGATACGTTTGCTATAGAGAAAGAAAAGGACAAGCGAACAGGCAACGATTTATTGATTCAATAGGAAAAAACAATGGGTACGTTGTAAGGGAGGAATGGATATAATTAAATTTACTATAGCTTCAAAGTCCATTGTATTTTAATTATTCAAAACAACGGATGATGTCGATGTTTTCGAGCAAAATTGAGCTACTGCTAAGTTCTCTCCATCAAATAACACTATTGTCCTTTGAAAAACAACTTTAAAAAAAGGATTTCAAATCTTGAGGCATGCTTTTTTTCTGAAACTGAAAGCAAGCTGATATTCTAAACAGAATAACTTGGATTCTTAATGTGTCTACGGAGTGTTTAAATTGCAAAAACGTCATTTTCAGCAAAACAAAAGGTTAGTTATTGTACTTTAATAATAGAAAATTAGTGCAAAAATCTTTGTTTTAGAAGAAAAAGAGTATAGATTTGTAATAGAAGATCATTCGAAAATGAACAAGCTAGAATTCATAAAAGGATGATTGTTACTTTTACTTCTCGCGTGATTGTGCAGATGATCAATGCAAAAACAAATAAATACAATTCATGTATCTATCTATCTCTATATATATATATTTATTTATTTATTTATTTATTTATTTCACGATCCATATATGTATAATACAAACATTTATTCAACGTAATTTATAAAAAGCTACTGATGTTTTTTTAATTACTCCAATAATTAATAATCGAAATAAATTTAAGCTTTTTCACAATAGTTTCATCGTTTGAATGACGCATAGAAAATCACAGATTGTTTATCTGTAATGTTTTTTTTCATGCAGAATATCAACAAATAATCAAGTATATTCAGTCGGATTTTCCATTGTGCTACGAGTTCTATTATCACTTGGACTTTGAGTTCTCTTTTCACTAGAGCTATGAGTTTGATTTGCACTCGAGCTTTGAGTTTGATGTACGGCTGGACTTTGAACTCGATTTTCAGGTGGATTTTCAATAGGAGTTAGAGTTCGATTGTCAATCGTGCTTGGCATTTCATAAGCAGGTGGTTGCGTTTCTACTAGTGTTCGTTGGTCTACTTTTAATGGCGGCGTATATCTTTGTGGATAATATATATATAAGGATTCATAGGCATCGGTGGTCCATTGTGACGTGATGGTAGCCAAGGTTGAGCCCAAATTTGTAATAGACGCTTCTTTCTACAACAGACGAAATAAGTAATTACAATAACACATATAAAGATACAAAGTGCTAATATAGATGCCATCGCAACGCCAACAATTCTGCCGATATTCGGAGTAGAATTAGATGCCGAACGACTATTAGAACGGCATGTTGAATTCTGTGAACAAGCTGATGACGACATGATTTATCTTTAATTAGTGAAAAATAAAGAAAGACTAGAGTTTGAAGAATGTATCATTGAATTTCAGTTAAAATATCGTAGATATGTACAAATGTATTTTATTGAAGCCTAAGCTGCTATATGATTAAGAAAAGAAAAATGAATCTAGAAAGAAAGAAAAGAAAAGAGCAAACAAAAACAAAAGAATTGATTACAACCTAAGAAGAAATGTAACTGTTGGTTGAGAATACGAAAGAAGTTACTCGATATAAAATTAAACAAAACACATACGCATCTTGACAACTCAGATAATCAAAACTTTGTAATTTCTTTAACGAAAATTATCTGAAAACAAAATTTTTACAAGTACTGAAATAAAATGCATCTGTCTAGTTACAATTACAAGACTTCTTTAAACAGTGATATCGAAATGCTCGTTCATCTTTTCAAAACGGACGAATCAATTCAAACCACTTGGATGTAAAGCATTCCCACGCGTATAAATATGATATAGGACATAATAATCTATCGATTAGTTTTTATTCTGTATGAATGACTTTCTTCCAGATTGTTGCCGATAGAAATTAGTTTCATGCCCAGTTTGTATCATTTTAATATCGGTCAACATAGACAAATGCAGGATATGACTAAATTTAAAAAAAAAGAACAATATGAATCCCATAAAGAATATAATAGAGTGCCGTAAAAAATAGATAAATATTAAAATTATATAAATAACTAATCGATTGAAACATATTCAGTGCTTTTATTCGAATCTAACGCTATTGTTTAGTTTTACTTCTTGATACGTAGGTGGTAGTTCACTGGAAGATATTTGTGGGTTTAATTGTGATTGAGGTTGTTGCTGTTGAACAGGATTTATATTCGTTGGCAGCTGTTGATTTTGTAGCGTAGGATTTGGTCGTGTTCGAAATTGTAGTCTATTTCGAAAATGTCTCTTACAATATAGCGTGTAAACAATTACGATGATCGATATAGAAAAAATGAGAAATGCTACAGAACCAAGTATAAGACCTAAGACTGTATTATTAGTGTTATTCTTAGCAGTGGATGTACGTCTCTCACAGTGCGTACCATTTATATTACAGGATACGGACATGTTTAGTTCGAAAATTTCAAATAGTAGAAAGACAAAATAGTGAATACATAAAAGAAGCAATATTTTCCTTTTTAAATGATACAATGATCATGATTCAATTAAATAAATTTACTTTATTATATTCTGTGTCTGATGTATATATTAGAAATGAAGGAAGACTAAAGAAGAAATGCATAAAAACAACAAAAGACTATCAAATAAATAAAAAAAACTGGCAGTACTGCACGTTGCTTGAATCAGTTAAAGTACTTCTATGATTTAATGTCAAGTAATTTAGATGAAACTTCGACTGCAATGTAGTCGTCTCAAAATTTGTAATTTGAATTTAATACTTCCATATCTAAAATTAAGATATAGTTCGAAGCATATATTTAAAGCAAATCCCTCCTATGATTATATGTTACTAAAGCACACATGCGGGACAATATTAGTATAGGCCTTCAATTATTCAATTCAATTATCAAGTTGAATTTTACTGAATCTAAAAAAGTTGACAGTATGAAAACCTATGATCTAGAATAGGATACATAGGTATTCTCTATTGTAGACTTTATAGAACTACGTCTCGAGAATAATTAAAGCAAAAATTTATTTTATTCTATTACTCAAATCAATTGAACTCTGACTTTAAAGGTCAAATAGAAAACGTGGAATTTTGCCATATTATATCATAAGTTGATATAACTTTCATGAACTGCATTATTCTTCTTACTAATGTTAGTTGATTTGCATACACTATTTTAATGAATCGAAATTCACTTCTTTTCCCCACCGTTGCTATACTCATCCTTTGCATTGTTTAGTTACAAAATAATTTCATTTCTGTTTTTGAGTAGCAATCGCCTGTTCTTTCGATATCAAACTATAAAACTATTTCATAAACCCTTTCCAGCCGGCTCCCAGTAGCGACATAGTTAAAACTCTTCTTCTACATATATTTTCTTATCTTGCCATAGAGATAGCAAAAAGCTATTTCTTAAAATTGAACGGTACTTCTATGTTGAATAGCTGTATGTTGCCATTTGGCAACAGCCGGCCGTAAAGGGTCAAAACTTTGGAAAATTCATTTGTCATTTTCGATCATCGAAATTCACTATTTTGCGTCCTTTTCATTTAATTATTCAGGAAAAATCATAAAATATATATACGATACACGTGTATAGTTTCTCCGCAATTCAACTCGACTTTTGTATGAAAAATTTGACATACGTTGAACTTAACGAGAGAGTAGTTGCATGGCTTTTTTGTTGGTGGTAATCAGGATAGGTATTCTTGTAGATCTTTTATTTCTCTACATCCGTGCCGATACGTAAATTAAATATTTATTTCCATACCAGTTATTGAGAGCTAAAATACTATCATGCTGGCTTTTTTTTCATAGAAAATTCCATTTCATGCTAGGAAAAGCTATGTAAATGCACCAGATATGTTTTGTATGCTTTGTTCTTGTATGAATAAATGAAAAAACGCAAAGTAGCAAATAACGATGGTCGACAACGAAAAATGATTTTTTTAAAATTTTGACCCCTCACGGCCAGCTGTTGTCATTTGGCAAGATCCATACCTCTTATTGCCAGTATTCATTGAATCGTCTCTTTGAGTGATACAATATACAATAGATCAAAGAGGAGAAATTTACCACTAGTGACCTGTGGGATTGAATGATTAAGGGTGCCATAAGAACGTCTTTTATGATTCAGTTGTTCTTTAGGAGTACTCAAGAGGACTCAGGTAATTTTCTCAGCTAAACGTTTTGTTTTGTTTCATGGACTATGAGTGCGTTCTAAAATGTCTCGTAGTAATTATTGAACTATTGATTCACTATCTATCCACAGTATAGCTATACCTTTCTTAAAATATTGGCACAATGTTGCCAAATGACAACATCCGACCGTAAAGGGTTAAACTTAAAATTTTCAATTTTATACGCATAATATTGATATTAAATTCTTTGATTAAGGATAAATTTGTGCCTTTCTCTATTAAGCAGTCTTGAAAGTATTGCACAGAAGCTCAACAAATTCGATCATTTTATATACAAATCTGTTTCACTTACATAACTATCAATCGGTCCATCATGAATATATATATATGCTTTAAAATATGTTATTTATTGTTTAGATACATAAAAATTTATTTTTAATTTAATCTTTTTCGCCTAATCTTTATAAATAAATAAGAATAAACAGAAATCAATATATAGATATATAGATATATTTATCACACGTTAATATCACACGAGACATATTTTTTAAATATTTTCTGTAACTAGATTGTCAAGTAAATGCCTAATATAAAACTACTCTTCATATTGTTGTTGTTCTTGTTGTTGTTCTTGTTCCTGTTCTTGTTCTGGTTGTTCTTGTGATTTTATTGATTGCCTATCGATATTAATTGAGCTCACGGTTATACCAAAGATGTTCGATGTCGAACATTCATACTTTCCTGTATCAACGTCGAAATCAAAATCAGGTATAACCATAATTGACGTATAATTATCCGTGGATACTTCATAATGATTTTTTGATCTTGGCATTTGATCATCGAATCTCCATTGATGATATTTATTTGAATTATCTAAAAATAGTAAACGAAAATAATGTTACTTTAATAGTTTACTTAAAAAACAATATACCTGTACTACAAATAATTCTCAATTCACCATCATCAACTAAATGTGATGTATCAATAGTCAAGTTCAGTTTTGGTTTTCTATCTGTTTGTTCGTAAATATTTGAATAAGTATTGAATGATAGAGTTCGTAAAATTTCATTCGACTGTTGTGATTTAATAAGACATTTATATTGGTTATGATGTTCTAATGTAAATGGACGAAATTCTAAACGCGGACCACGAACATAAAAATTCTTTCGATACTTTGGAATATTTGACCAAACCACTTTTCCTTGTGGAATATCTAAACGTAAAAATACATTGAACATATTGATTTGAAAAGGCAAGAAAAGAAAAGAAATCGTCATTGTCACCTTGCCCTATTCGACATATTAAAGTAATATTATCACCAATATACTTCCCATTAATAATTTGAATAAAAGAGCTATTATATTTAACTGCATTTCGTTTTCGTGAGTTGAACTCTTTCGTTGATTCAAATAAACTTGGAGATAGAACTAAGAGTCTTCGTACATTTTTATTTACACAATAATAATAATCAAAATGATTAGTGGAAAATTTTGGAATATTCAAATACGAATCATTTATAATGATTCCATCTATTTTTCGTTGTAATGACCATTGTACTGGTGTATTATCAGATGATGAACAATTAATAAGAATATTTCCACCAAGTTTCATCTGATTCATCGATGAAAGAAACTGAATGTGAACATTTGAAATATTATCGAATGGAAAAGTATGAGAGCGAAGATTTGAACGCGTGATATTGAAATTGATTGACGATTGGTTATGCTCATTGGATGATAAGCATTCGTATAGTGCGATATCATTGTGAGAAATTTTATCAATAAAAAGATATGTTTCAGTTATATTTTTAATTGAATTTTCCTCTTTTTTTATCCAGAGCTTTGTAATACTAGGATCTACAAAAACACGTATTAAACATTATGACTTGATATTAAAGTATCAAACGCGTTCTACCTGAAGAAATGCATTCAATAAAAATATGACCACCTGCATGATAATCCGTATGTGATGAGTAGATTTGATATGAAAATGAGGATTTTACATTATGAAATATATCATCTGCTTGAAGTTCAATGGAATTTGAAAGTTGTTTAGTTGGGGTTGTTGCTGAACAAGTGTATGTGCCGATATTAGCTGGTTCAAAATTATATATTAATAAATGACCATCGTTTGTTACATGTGTATTGCTTGGCAATGAACTTGATTGAAATGACCAAGACAGATGATTGGGCAATATACCTGAAATGATGCGAACATACTAGAGACATGGCTTCGATCAAAGTACTATTTTGAATTTGTATTTTTCTTGCCGAGTATTCATTTTAGAAAGTTTTATTTAGTTTCAAAAGATGTGTCAGTAAGAAAACCAATCTATTTCATAGCGGAAAACCAGTTTTACTACATATGATGAGAAATAGTTTGGTTTGTTGTACTGACACGTCTTCTTCCATATGTTTTATGCTTGTTTAATAGTAGTAGGAAAATCTCTTAGCAATTGTAAATTTTGTATGAGAACACTGTTAGAAAATCTTTTCAGTTTAAGTAAAAATTTTCTACGATAAAAGAAAATTGATCGAGAGAAAGACAAAACTTAGATGATTTTTTTGTTTCGTCAGAACTTGTTCGATAGATAAGCGATAGCTCGTTTTAATTTTATACCTTCGACAAAGCACTGTAATTCAACAGTTCCACCTGCTTTAATATCATCGCGGGAAGTTCGTAATTGAATTTGAATTTGATATGCTTTCACTAAATAAAAGTAGAAGATATTTTAATATTATCGATCATATTTATGTACTTTTTCGTGAGTTAATTGATAAACTTCTTTCAACTTCATTAGTAGAGATAGCTGCAGTTAATTCTTTTTGTGAATACTGTTGAATACTCATTGTTTTTTTATGCAATTTTCCATTCATATCTTTAATATTGCAAACAAATTTTTTATTAATATGCTTTGATTGTACGCGCAATGTCAGCGGATTTTTATCGCGTCGATGAGGATTTATTGATGACCACCAAATAGCCTTAGCTTGTGGAAACATACAATTAAAACGTATGTCACTATCAATCGAAAATATATTTGAAGGTTCAATATGAATTGAAATTTCCTGTGGAATTTGCTGAACTAAATGAATTAGTTTATTACATAACCAACCAAATGCAGATTCTAAGAAATATTACCATCGATAGTGATAGTTTCTGAAGTAGATCCGTATTCATTTGTAGCAATACATAAATATTTACCACTGTGTTGAAATTCTAAAGGCATATTCGGTGGGAAAAGAGTAGCTGATTTTGTTAAATCCAGCTCATTCTTAAATATTTTAGTTTGAGATTTTTATTTTAATAGTAACAACCTTCTACATACAGTATCAGCAAGACGCCAACTGATATCTACTGGAGTGTGATGATCTTGATTTAGGCATTCGATGGATTGAACTGAACGATATGGTATTTGAAGGTACCCATTCGTTACTTTTGGTAAGATGATTATAGATGGTGGAGATCCTATCATTATTTAAATAAAGAAATGAAATCTTTTATTTTTCTATAAATAGTATCCTTATGTACCCGTGAATTCAATTGTAACTATTTCTTCAGTAGCATCAACTTGATTTTGACCGCGGCAGACATACTGACCAATGTCTGAATCTGATACGGAGTCGAAATCAAGAATACCATTAGAATGTTGGTTCGGTAATATAGTCAATGTAGTATCTTTTCTAAATGATTGTTTAAAAAATCGATAAATAATTAATTACTCATGAGAGTTAAATAAATATAGCAGCTTTTGAAGTCACATTATTATCTAATAACATATTCAATTTATGAAATATATTTCATACATTTTCATACACTCAAATGTGCATTGTGTACTTATGTCTATGTATTTGATAGTTCACTAGAAAAGTTCTCATAAATTCAGTTTTTACTGAAACTCAAAAGTTCGATAGGTGGATTTCGTTCTGATTTTAATCTTTTTTGTTTTGTTTAATTAAGCAAAAGCAGCGGAATTGAATTAATTCCACATTTGTCTGTAGTTGATTTAGAGGTGGTAAAATAAATGCTGCAAAATTAGGAGAGCTACAAATTTCTAACAACTAACTCGTCAATATTTAATAATGCTCATATTTGACTTTGCTCAAAACTTGAGAATTTTTCATTTTATTTCTCATGTAGTCTTTAAAACAATGCTTGCATAGTTCACAAACTCAAGCCAGGGTTTAAATGCTATAAATAAATTCTTCAATGGAAATCAAAATATTTTTAAACATTTAGCTTTTTCGAGTGTTGAAATCATTTCAAATGAAACGATTCATAATCAAGTTTTTTCTTTACAAAAATCTCAAACACATTTTCAGTACGGGCAAAACTAATAATAATCTCTCGGTTGATTTCTTTACTGATCAGCCAACATATTTGTGAATAATCAATAAATAAATCTGTGAAATGCTTGTACTCAAATAGAAATAGAATAGACAAGAATTCTGACTATAATTTTTCTTATTTTGATATTCAAAATTTGTTTTACTAAATAAATATGACTTAATCAACAATAATTCAAATTAAGTACGAATTTAGAAAGAAGCTGTTCGGAGCAATCATCTGTTCTAGAATTTTTGTGAACATTGAGCAAGAGAACAAAATGATTTTATCAAAATAACATATTAAACATTACACACCTAAACCAACTGATCGTCGTTGTTTCGGTGTCATATGGGTCAAAACATTTTATATGCAGTTTGTCTCCTTTTGGTATTCGAATATGTGTTGACGGTTCAATTAATAATTTCAGTTTAAGACGAATAGCTAAACCAACCGATACAGCGGTTTAATATTGATTAAGAAAAACATATCAGCTAACTAAGGCTACTTTTAAATACTTCTATAGGTATAGATCAGTATATATATATATATATATATATATATGTGTGTGGGGGGGTGTGGNAGGAAAATCTCTTAGCAATTGTAAATTTTGTATGAGAACACTGTTAGAAAATCTTTTCAGTTTAAGTAAAGATTTTCTACGATAAAAGAAAATTGATCGAGAGAAAGACAAAACTTAGGTGATTTTTTTGTTTCAAAGATCTTGTTTATGAAGTTAGTCGAAAAAACATACAATCAACAACATTAGTATTAGTAATATTAGTAATAGTAGTAGTATATGAACGAAAAAGAAAGAGAGAGAGAGAGAGAGAGCAAAAGAAGTAAAAGAACACCGTTGGGTAGTTAGCAAAAAAATGTTGCGCGATAGGAGAAAAGAGAAACACTGGGTTACAGTTACAAACACAAATTATAACAAACGACGAATACAGAAACTAACTGAAGTTGCACACATTTTAAAAGAAACATAGATCAGCGTGGCTAGTCTAAAACATTTTGTCCTATATGAAGAACTACAAAGCGAGAAAAAAAGTAAATTTATTAAATTATTAGCTTTAAATAATAAAAACCTAGCTTTACGAAAATAGATACCAAATAAAATCGAGCGAAAAAAAAAGAAAAACATTGTTGTTCTACTGATGTTGACTAGTGTGCATAATTATTTCACACAAGTTTCTATCTATTTACGAGCGTCGCTTTTTTTTCTTCTTACTCGACTCATCTCCACCGCGAATGTTAACCGGTGCATAGGCGTGATATGGCGTAGCATGGCCTGGAACATCAACTTGACATTGCAAGTACATTTGTTCAGAAGGTGTATCATCTGTTGGTGCGATTATAACGTTATTTCCTTCTTGCTATAGAAATAAGAAAAATAAAATAGAATTCAAATTATATACATAAATATGTAAACGAAATTCTTATTATTAATACATACACGTGCAAAGGTTGGAAGACTTGTATCATGTGCATATTTGCCCCATGTTACTTTAAATTCTTCAGCACCTTTAACTCGACATGCAATAGTTGCTTGTTCACCACGGCCAACTGTGACTTCAGTTGGATCAGCATTTACTTCAACGAATGAAGCCTGTTGAGAATGCTCAGCTCCATGTTGATAATTTTGTTCATGACCTCCAGCTGAACCATCTTTAAAATGCAAATTTCTATGTAAACAATTCAAACAGAAATAGACTGTCTACCTGAAATTTGAATATCATAGCTGCTTTCTTGTGTTCCGAGTTGGGGTGCCTGTGGGAAAGCAACTTCACATCTAAATTTGTATATAACATTTTTTCTTCTATTTAAAACTATTGATGTCAGTGAATTTCTTACCGGTAGCGTCCAGAGTCGCTGGTTTGAGCATTACGAATAATTATTAAGCCATTTGGATGTATTTCAATATCTAATACACAGAAAACAAACAACTATTTTAATAAACTACGAATCAATGAAAATCTTTTACTATTTTCTAATGGTCGACCATCTTTTGTAAATGTATATTCATATGGATGTTCAGCACTTCCTTGAACGGCACATTGCAAATGAATATCGCGTCCAACTTGATGATTTTGTTCATCATTCGATTGAAGGCGAACACTTATATAACTACGTGACGTATCGTGGTCATCATCTGTAATAGAAGCATATAATATGTTTAAGATTTTGTTTTTCTTTGATATTTAAACATAAAAACATGCAATAGCAAGCACATGCAGAAAGAAAACAAATAGGATTACTCGGCGACCGAACATTAAGCGTTAGAATATCGTAAGAGTTTTCTGATGAACAAAGAAACTCTAGTCCGTTATCTTGTTTTGTAACAGCACTCAATGATAAGTAACCATTTAAAAATGAAAGGCCAAGTGGAGCGTGCTCTCGTTGTTGTGCATTAAAACGTGTTACATCCAAACGGAGTTTTATTGATTCAATATCTGTTCGACAAATCGCTTCAAGACGACGTCCTTCATTCAATGTTAATTGATGAACATTCCATTGCACTCTTCGATATTGATTAGCTATTTGTTGATTTGATTAATAAGCAAAAGCAGAAAGGACATGTTAAGTCAACAAGCAAAAGCAATGTCAAGGGAAAAAAATCAAGCACTAAAATTGTCACGTACCATTCTGCTCTTGATGATTATCTAAAATGGTCGAATAAAAAGAAAAATATTAAATAAGATACATTAAGATTAAGTTTATGCAAAAAAAGGAGTCAAACATTTCTTTCTTGCTGCCTTTAGAATAAATAAAGCATGGATATACCAAGGGAAATTCACTAAAGGATCTAACTATGAAATTCAAAGTGTTTTTCTCTTTTATTATATTCTTGCTCGTTGTAACCGATAATAATATTTAACTGAAAAGAAATACTTTCTTTCGTTTTGATTTCATTTTCTGAATGAAAATGAAAGTACTTACGTGTCTCTTTCCATTGAATCTCAATAGTTCTTGATGTTTGACCGTTAGCATTAGATATATCAACAGTATATCTTCCTCCAACATCACTCGATCGACCTTGAATGTGTAATGTGCCATCAGTACGTGCACTTACACCATCAGGCAAATTTGTTGAGCCATCTTTTGACCATACTATTTTTGCTCCAGTTGCACCCTAGATTTAATTCAATAAATTCAATGTTGTTATTGTTTTAGGAAAGAAAGTTTTTCTTTACATAAATATTTGGTACTATTTCAAGATCTTGACCATGAGCAACTTCATAATTATCTTGTGAAAAAGTAACTTGTGGTGCGGCAGCTTGTTGACCACGTTGTCGATTACGTCTTGGTTCTACCTTGATCTCTAATGTTTGTCGATCTTCACCATTTGAATTACGTACAATTACTTCGTAGGTTCCGGCGGAATCAAGTGTAGCACGGTGAAGAACAAGACGATCTTTTTCAACACTAAATAATGATGGAATTTGTTGATAACCTTGATCAGTTAATTTATGCCAAACAACTTCAATTGGATCATTTGACTAAAAAATACAAGTGAAAAAGTCTATGATGAATAAACTGATTTTCTTCCAATATGACATACAGCAACTGCATATTGAACGATCATACGTTGACCTTCTTTCAAATTGATCTTTTGTGGTCGAATAGTTATTCGTGGTGGAGCGCCTGGAAATAAAAAAAGAATAGCAAAATAAAAATTCTATAATAACTATTTTCTTGTCCAATAACAAGATCAAAAATAAATTAGACAATATTCATCAATATAACGCTGCTGTTTAGGAGCTTTTTTTAATAGTACTTCGTAGTCCTGTTTCATATTTCTATCTATCCTTTAAGATGTAATAGGTTTTAAAAAAAAAGATTGAATCTAACTGATACTCTTTTTTTTTTAGTCTGCAAAACTTACCACCAACTGGATGAGGTCGTGGCGATGCTTGTACTTGAATTTCGTATGGAACTTTAACTGGATTGCCATCTACTCCATATAGTTCACAATAATAGATACCCGAATGTTCTGGGCGTGCCCCTGCAATGTTTAAAGCATTGCCATGTTGACTGATACCTGATGAAAATGGTTGACCATCAGCACGTGTCCAAATAGCTTGATGATAATCCGCTGGCGGATGAATTAGTTGACTTGCACCTTCATTAATTGATAATGGACTTGCTGGACTCAGTACTGGCTGACTAACATGGGTATGTTGTGCTTAAAGATTTTAAAATAAAATAAATTCATTTTTCTCAAAACTAAAACAAAAAACAATACACACCTGGACGATACTCTAAGTAAATAGCAATACGTTCAACGTAACCATCAGAATGAGTGATTGAGCAAATATAGTTTCCAGCTTGCTCTTCTGCTGGATTACGAAATACGAGATCGTTACCTTCTTGAACAACATTAAATGGTAATGGAGTACCATCAGTACGACCCCATACAATTGATTGTGGTTGAACATTCTTGATGGAAAATAAAAACGCATATTAGTTTTATTTGTAAAACAAAAATCAATAGATAATTTACAAGAACTTGAAGTGGAACACGTTGTTCTGATCGACTACCATCCAAAATTATATTAAATGGCGTTGTACCACCGATATCATATGGTCGTTGGTCGAGGTAATATGCACCTCGTGAGCCTGTTTCAGGTGCCGGTGGTTCTGGGTCTAAAGAAATTCATATTTTGTTTTTAAAGAAATATTTGGTCTTCATTTATTTTTACATTGTTGATATCCGTCATCGCGCACACATTTATTGGTTCGTGCATCAAGTACATAGCCAGCACGGCATCGTTCACATCGATCACCTTCACTATTATCTTGACAATTCTACCGAATAGTAAAATATCAAATAGAGAATAAATTTTGAACATATTATAATTATATATATATATATATGATACATACTGAACATTTGCCAGAATCTCGATCACATTGATCTGAGCGTTCGTGACATAGTGCTCGACACGACCAGCATTGACCCAAATAAATACCAACTAATGGATGTGGACGACCGTAACCATCAGCACATTTTTCACATGATGTACCAGTATAATTAGCTGGACAACTACATGATTCAACAGTGAATGCTGTGTCGGCGTTACCATTAACAGCAGCAACATTCAAAGTGACACCACGAAGACTGAAATAAAATAATGCAATGTAAATTAATGTTGCAAAGCAAAATGAGAACTAATGGGTTATTTTCTTACACAGCATTACGTTGACCACCAATAGGATTTATTTTAACTAGGAAAGTGTCCAAATCCGATAAGGCCATAAGAATATTTTCTCGATCAATATATGTGCCATCTTTACGTGTAAATGTTCTCTAGAAAAACATAAGATACAATTGTAAACAAGAGTCTCATTTGTTTTGTTTTCTCTTCTGTCTCTCTAGTGACCATACCTCATTACATGGTACTGAATAAGTTGAATCTTGATTTGCTTCGAATTTTTGTGTTTTAGGTAGTTTATGAACAAGATCAATATTGTTACCACGTAACCAAATAAATTCATCATTGCTTTGTGCTTGATTAGAATCGCCATCATTAGTAAAATGAATATCAATAGTGCCGTCATATAAGGTTACAATATCACCAAGAACTTCTTTAGGTGCTTTCCAATAAAGGACTTCATCATTTGGCCGACCTAATGAACTTTGATCAAGAGCAATTTCACGTCCACCATTACGTTGTTGAATACTATTACGTGCTTCATATGTATCAGTAGCAAAATTCTTTGGTACGGCATTCCAATCGTTTAATGCCAGTGGAAGCTAATATAAGAAAACAATAAAAATTTGATATTTTAATTTTTTTTTTATTAATAAAAATAAAAAAAATTCTTACAGCTTGTCGTCTCCAATCCGATGATCTACAATCACTTGAAACACCAGAACAGAAACATGCTAAACAGCCATTTGGTGTTGTTGGATTTAAATAGAAGTGATTACGTTTGCATTGATCACATCGGTCGCCTTCAACATTGTACTTGCACATACAACGCCCAGCACGTTCCATATGTGTACCAGATGGATCGCAACCTATTGCAAATAAAAAGATAAATCATTTTTGCATTATTTTTATTTTTTACTCCGGATCGAAATACATACGTTGAGAGGGAACATGTATGGGTTGACAATCATATGGTGTTCCACCACGAGCATCTCCTTCATAACCTGTAGCACAATATTCACAATAAGAACCAGCGGTATTATGTTGGCAATTCTACAAGGAGAACCAAATCATAATAGCAGTGAAATAAATCATTTTGTTGTCACATAAATATAATACATACTTCACATCGTCCATCTGCTGAGCAATACGATGAATGGCCATTGCAATTACATGTTGGTGGGGGTGGTGGTCTAGGTACTTGGTCTATTAGAGAAAGAAAAAACAATATTCATAGGTAGGGTTTTGCTTTTGCATAGAAAAATAATACAAACCAATGATAACATTAACAATAGCATCAGGAATAGCAAAAATAAAACCTTGATTATTAAGTGCTTCGCACGAATAAGCACCGCCATCATTTCTATTGACATTACGCACTGTGAGTGTACCAGTAACAAGTGTTGGATCACCTGAATCTAAAGTTTGAGCCATTGTGCAACGTCCATTATCAGAACCATCACCACAGATATGTCCCCAGTTGAGACGCCAATTAATATATGGTGCTGGAGAACCACGAGCAGTACATTGAATTGTTAACGTTTCACCGGCATTGACTTCAATTCGACGTTGTGGTGGTGCAACAATGGTTGGTTTAACTTAAAACAAGAAAACAATCAATAGCCAACAAAAAATTGATTGTTTCTCATTTTTTCAATTTTTTTTGTTTTTTTTGCTCAAACTTACCACAACCGAGTTCATCCGAACGATCAGGACAATCATTATAACCATCGCATTGAAATGATCGTGGAATGCATACTGGATTGCCATGTGTACCATTGTTAGCATGGCATTGAAATTCGCTTGTTTTACAAACACGTTGTCGTGGAAGTAACTCTAGAAGACAACACAAATGAAAATAAGTCATTAATTAGAAAAATAATTAGAGAAAGCGAAGTGTTTTTTATGCATACCACAACAATGTGGCTCTTCATCACTGCCATCATCACAATCACTGCAATGAAAGAATTTAAATTAAAAAGAACAATTTTTCTTCATATAACTGTCCTACCGATCACCATCACACATCCAAAATTTCTGAACACATTTTCGTCCTCGACTAGGATTCGAGCAATGAATTTCATTCGGTTGGCAAACATCACTACCTAAAAATATTTTAGCTATTTTATTTTCCATAGACTAGATTTTCTAGATTTTTCATCGAATATAAGCAATGCAATATTGAGCTGCTGAAATATATATATACATATATATATAAGTGTATATGAATATATATTCTCTTTATTTTTATGCATTAGTGAGAACGATCTCCCTTAGCGATAGAGCAATAAGCTTATTTTCTTACCACTTCCATCAGGTGCTAGATAGATATACAATATATGTATTTACAAAAAAAATTCAAAAAAAACAAAAAAGTCAATAAGCTTACGTCCACATGTTTCATCACTATTGTCACCACAGTCATTTTTACCATCACAAAGATATGAACGAGGGATACATCGGCCATTGCGACAATGTGCTTCGTTAATATCACATCCACCGTAGCTTGGTTGAATGGGTTCAACGGGCTCAACTGGTACAACAGGCTGAACGGGAGCAACTAAATTTAGAGAAAAAAAAACATATTCGAATTTTGTATCAGACGATAATTTACCTGGTATTGGCGCTGATCCTTGACAAGTATAATTGAAAGGCAAAAGATAGTTGAAAACATATTTTTAACAATTTTTAAATTACCTCCAAACGTCAAGACACTGTTAGCATCTATATAGTTACTGTTTGGAATAGAACAACGATAATTGCCCAAATAAGATTGGGAAATTGGACGAATGTGGAGTGTTTTACCACGTGGATAAAGTGGTTGTTCATCATTAAGAACCTGAAAATATTAAAAAAGAAAATACATTAATTATTTCACTATTAAAATTAAATATAAGCATTAGATTAATCAGTATCTAGTTTAATCATAAATCCCAATGTACTCACTACAGAATTGCCAGTCTACCTCATCGAAAAAAAAATCAAGAATAGAAATCACGTTTAGTGATGAGAGCGTGATGTTCTCTCTTTGTTTTGAGAACCCAAAGCTTATTTTAAACTTACCGCAGTATCAATTAGCTGTAGAAAAATAAATAATGAAAATAGATTTAAATTAACTGATTCAAACTTGTGCAATTTTTAAACTAAAGGTCTTATTGCTATATTTTTCAATCAAATAAAAACGAAAACATACTCGATTGTTGAAGTACCATTGTATACGTCCTTCATCATCTGCTGACGCACCTTCACATTGAATTTCCACATAATCCCCATCAGTCATGTCTGGTGCTACAATGCGTAAATGTCCTTGACCACCACTCGCTATATAAAAAAAACAAGTAAATAAGAACCAGATAAAAAATTTTCGTTTAACCTACGTGGAGGGACAACGTCTGGATACTCTGGTGGTGGATGAGAATCATGGCCGCCTTGTTCCATAGTAACAACAGCTGAACCACTGTTTCCTGAACCATCTTGAGCCATACATGTATATTTACCGATTTTACTTGCATCATCAAGTGTAATGCGTGCTTTCAATGTAATTTGTGATGCTGTCACTTGTTTATCATTATCAGTAACTGGTTCCGTTAAAGCGTAACGCTAAAAATGATTTTTACAAATAAATTATTTTTCATTAAACAAAAAAAAAGAAGAAAATATTTCTATAGATCTTACCCGTTCCGGTTCGTCTTGAATCCAGTAAATACTTGTACTAGAATCACCACCATAAACCGTGCAACTTAATTCAACTGTTCGACCGTATTGAACTTGAAGAACTTCAGGATTAACAACTACGCGAAGTTCAACTCGATCACCGGATTCTGGCTGAACTGGTGGTGGATTGGTAACATCTACGGAAGCAAATTTTAAAAAACAAGGTTTTCCCCTCAATTAAAATATTGATCTTGTTAATGACAGAAGAAATTATCTTCATCAATAGATCACTTGTGGGAAAAGAATTTATTTGTTTTCTATAATACAATTTGATTGATGAAAATCATTTCATTGAATAATAGAAATTCTTTAGAATTCTATAAATTTCTTTGAATTCAAATATTATTTTAGGAAAACGAAACAATTCTATTTAATACATAAAATTTATACTTGCCTTGAGACGCGCCAGGTTGTGTTGTATCTTCTAAAAATGAGAACATATTATTTTTATTACTGTTCATTCTAACGGAAATACTGAACAATAAGCGAAAATAAATAATAATTAATATCATGCAATGCTTTTAAATATGATGATTATAGTAGAAAAAAAAATAATATTATGCGATTACTAGAATATATATATATATATATATATATCAATTAAAAAGAAGCTAATTGATCAGTAAGCAATGAGCACTGTTACGAAATTATATACGATATGAATTTATGTATCAATCTCACTTGTCTGATTCGGAATGGGTGACACATCACCATTTTTATCTCCTTCTTCCTCATCAGGCTCATCATAATATTCGACATCGTCTGATGAATCATCCGCGTCACTAGCTGGTTTTGGAGTTTTATTTACTGCTGTTGTTGTTGCTTCTATTGTTGTCGTCGGTGTTTTGACATCTTCATCGTCAACGGCATCGTCTTCTTCATTATTGTTATCATCTTCAGGAACTACAGTAGTCTTTTGTGTATGTGTATTTTCTCCGTCTCGATCATCATACATTGCTATTCATGCGCAAACACATAGGATTATAAAACTCATGCAAAAGAACAAAAGCTCGAAAATCACACATTTGAAAAAGACTTACCATCTACATAATCTCCACCTGAAATATAAATAAACATACTGATTAGATATTGAATTATTTCATGTAGGAAAGAAAAACAAACACATTCAATCAAAGCAAAATAGGCAAGCAAAAATAAAGGTCTATTCATCTCTGGAGATTGCCGTGCACAAACCATTTCATTCCAAATCAGGATAATATGATCGGTACCTCCTGTAGTTATCAACGTATCATGAGAAGTTACACTAGGAACTTCGGTTGATTCTCCGCTACCTGCACTAGCTGTTGCATTTGTATCAACTGCAGCGGCTTCGGTAGAAGCACTATCGGCTGTAGCATCACCAGCTGCTGTGGCAGCTTCAGTAGAAGCACTATCGGTTGTAGCATCACCAGCTGCTGTGGCAGCTTCAGTAGAAGCACTATCGGCTGTAGTACCATCACCAGTAACGCCACCAGCACTTGTTGTTTGATCGCCAGTAATAGTTACATCACTGGTTGCATCTGCGTTTTCTGAATGATGGCCATTACCTGGTTTAGATGATGTAGGTTCACCAGTAGCGTCATCAGCAACGGTTGATACGTCCAACGCGGCAACTCCGGTTGTTGCTCCAACTTCATTTGCTTCAGTGACTGCTTCCACTGTAGCAGCACCAGCAGTACTGTCTTCTGCAACAGCTGTAGCTCCAGTTGGTTCACCTGTTTCAGTAGCATCGACAGAAGCTGTGGTTAGATCATCACCACCTTTAACTGCAGCTGTAGTTTCAGATAGTAGTGCAACTGTTGTATCATTCTCAGATTTAGTTGTTGCTACTTCTGTTACACCAGTGTCTGATTGTGCAGTAGCAGCTGTATTTTCGACTAGTATATAGTGTAGGGTGTGGGTGTGGGTGTGTATGTTTTTTTTAGTAAAGCAGAAGAGAAAAGAAAATCTTAGCAGTATAAAAGAAGTCAGCTTAATTTATAATGTTAGCAGAAAAAGAAGAAATTTAAAAAGCATAACTTCGTAAAACCTTACCATTTTCATCTGTAGGTTGATCAGCTAAAGTCAAAAAATAAAAATAAATAGTTAAGTAGCAAAATATTAACGAATAAATCGAAACAAATCAAAACTTTTCAATAGAAAAAAAGCAAGCAACAATAATTAGATAGAAATATGTAAACGAAGAAGAAAGTCACACAACTCGATACATGCATTTTTATGTCATCATCACATTTTGTGTTAAACTTTCTCAGTAATGTCAAACTTGAAACTTGAATTCAGTTGAAAATGGAAAATTTCAACTTTCAACTTTCAACTCATAGCGATACATGTGTGAGTCACGATTCTTCAGAATGCTATTGGTTTAAAAGTTAAAAATTGAAAATTTCAATTTTCAAGTTTGACATATATGGATTTTTGTAATGTGACGATGAGCTTGGTTTTGAACCTATAGCGATTTCCAAGAGAAAAGAACAAATTTATGGAAACGTTAAACTTATATATGAAATGATAGTCGAAATCAAATGAGCCATGATTTAGTTGAAGCTGAGTTGAAGATTAAAATGAACACTCATTTTCAGTGTTGCCAGATGTCGAACTTGAAAGTCCGGAAACTTGTGGAGCTTTTTTCAAATGCTGAAAAAATGCGGAAAGGTTTTTTGGATCCGTTTTTTCATTTAAAGTACGTTTTACTCTAACGGATTCGAAACAAAGATACTTTTTACACATAGCTACAACATATATTTTAATAAAAAAAAGTGCACATCCAAGAAGGCTGCCTGATGTCAACCTCGAAAATCCAGAAAATTCCGGAATTTGTTTTTCGAAATCTACAAAAAATCGAGAAAAGCTTTGAAAATGCAGAAAAACTTTCGAAATCTGGAATTTTCCCAGAAGATGTGGGGATCTGGCAATACTGTCTATTTTACTTGACCAGAACTCTATGATTATCTTTTAAATGAACCAGATCTTTCGAAACATATATTCAATTGTTAGATGTAAGTAGAGTCACGTCGCAGAAGTGTCACGAATTGCTTAGTAAATTGGCTAAGCAGTTTTCACTGTGTATTCTAATGAACACGTTTTAATTATTTATTTAAATGAACTTTATGAAATCAACATTCTATTTTCAATTTTAATTCGTCTACAAGGAAAATTTTCAGCATCGATCTCATTATAGGAAAAGAGATTAATGCATCTACTAGTGAAAAATCGAAAGTTATCAGATAAAAGCCATCGAGTGACTGTTGAATGTCAAAAGAAAACACTCCTGATTTTTCACAAAAATTTCCTGATTTCTAAAATTTGAATTTGGTAACCCTGGTTTAGATGTAGCATAGATAAAAGCTTTCTTTCTTGATCATGATAATTTATTACTATACTCATTACAAGCGAGCTCATCAATGCTAATATCTTATTCAATGTTTTTATGACAATGGCTAGCACATTTTTTTTGTTTTTTCGCCAAGGTTGAGTTCCTTCCTGATAATAAGTATCTAATAGCGGAAGAAAGTAACTAACACAAAGAAAGCGGGAAGTTAATCAATAAAATAAATCATAGGAAAATAATATTGACAGACATTCATATGTTTGATTTATAAATAAAGTTAAAAATAGCAATTTGCCTCTATTGACATTAACTTACTTTCATCATCTTGCCGTCTGTACCTTAACCTTGAGTCGTGTCTGGCGGAGGCACTCTGTTGTATGAGAATTTGAAATTTAGTTAAATCATGGAATAAAAATTAATTCTTTTTCGTACCTGCGATATTGATACGCACGCCAAAAAACACAGTAATAATCCTGTGAGTAATTTTGCGTTCATCTCCGAAACTCTAAGATCAACCAGTTACGATAAAATCTAAGAGGATTATATCTGAAAAAATCGAAAAGAAAATGTATAAAAGTCAAACTTTCATTGATTCCACACATAATTTTATGTGCATCACTCAATATGATATAAAAAAAAAAGAAGAAAACATTCGATTCCCATATCCTATTATGATGCAAGTCTCTTAGCTATCTAAGATATTCACCAGAGAGAGAGAGAGAGAGAAAGAGAAAAAGTGTTAGCGTTCATCACATATGCGTATCGAATGTAAATAATTTCTTTTCGAGGACATATCTTTCTTCCTATTGATCTTAATTGGGTCTTCACGTACACAGACATGATACGTATATATAAATTATATATTGGCAATTTTAAGATATAATAATATCAAAAGGAAAAGGCCCCAAATAAATAGTTAGCAAATATTTATCAATATGTATGCCAAAACAAAAGGTTTATTTTGAAATTCTATTCTCATCTTAATTATCGATCAATTGTTACTTACTTTAGTTTTTCTTCTGAGGAAAGCAAATGAGAAATGGATGCGTAAGTATTAAACGAATACGAGAAAGACGATTGGTTTTCTCTAGCGTATACATAAACAAGTAGTGCATACCGTGCCAGCCGTGTCTCTCTTTGTCAAATAAAGAGAAATAATTTTTTTTTCTAGTCTGTTTACACTAATGGTAATTCTAACAGCCAAATAAATAAACAGTTAGTGCTGTAAGACAGAAAAAAACCAACCTAAACGTCCGACTAGACTGCTATTTTCTCTCTTTGCGATGGTTGTTGTATTGAGTAATAAATATTAGTACAAATACCATTGATATAGACCGCAATAGTAGAATCTTTTCTTTCACTATCTTCCTTTCTTTTCTTTCTTTTCTTCACCAATGATAAGTAATCCAAAATATTGTGTGTATTAGAGCAGCTACATCAATTACTACAAACAGAAAACAGTACCATTAGAAGAATATATTAGTTATATGATTATCAACACGAAAATATTTATAAATACATGCGTGCATATATCATTCTCACGGTCGTAATAATACTGTAATATGAGTGTTTTCTTTTCAGACAGAGGCTTAGACAAAGATTTAGGTCAATGAAGTATGAAAAAAATAACAACGGTATACATATGTATTTTTTTGCCAGAAAATACAATTTGTTCATTATTATTGACAATCATCATCATGAAATTAAGAGAAAATAAAAAGATAAGGAAAAATCTTCTAGTCTAGTCAACTTGCAAAACATCGATTGCATATATATATACATGTTAACGTACACAATATCAAGACTTACATTTGCCTTCTTTAATCTTTTTTCTCGTCGGTGCTTTTCTTTTTAAGTTGACGTAGAGTAATATAAATAAAGTAATAATAATAACAGCACTTAATATATATATAGGGAGACATCGGACACAACAAATAAAGAAATACAAGACTATAGAGACACACATATGCGGAAGCCTTGAAGTAACATTAAAAAATAGTGAGAAGAGTCTCCTCCATTATGAACTGATCCATTGTAATAGTTATTCATTGGGTGTTACTAAATAAAGTGAAATTTACTCACTTCAACACTGAATTCTTTTTCGTTCATGTTCTTTAATGTAGACATGTATAGTTGCTACATATGCTGATCGATCATTACCATCATCATCATTATTATAAACTTAATAAGATGCATGATGTAGTCTTCTTGTGATAGAATTTGCCAATCTATTACGGTCGGCAAGGACATGACGATTGTTCAAAATATCTGCTTCTTTATATGTTACAGCAGACACGCGTCACTCTTCTTTTCCTCTCTATTCACATTTTTTTCCTCTTGACGTACAGCCTTAAACCACAGGGACTGCATCAATACAAGAACGAGAGCGTCAATAGCAAATGTTTACTGCACAAAAAAAAAAGAAAAAAAAGGAAGAGAGAAGGTCGATTTTGCGTTTTTTTTTCGTCACCACCACTGTATTCTTCTATTCAAAAGATCGACTCTTATTAACGATCGAGGGATGTATATCAATCGAGAAAACAAAATTTCTCGTTAGGATGCCCATTTTTTTTTCTTTTTTCGTTTCTCTGTCTTATCCAACTATGCCTTAGCTATGCAACGAAAATAACGCCCGATGTCAACTGACTGTCTCACCAAGCTGTTCTATCATGACTATGCCGATTCTATCAAAACATTCTAATTGAATAAAGAGAGGAGAACAGTGTGTAAATAGTTTTTATCCGCTTGCGGCATTGATCGTCTCATATTTATCATTTTTCTATAGCTTTCTATCAAAAAGTAAATACTCGTATACGTGAGGCATCAAAAAAAAATTTGATCCGCACGAAAAAAACCTGGATGCTCACAATTGAAAAGTAAAACCTTTTTTTTTAACTCAAGCAATATTGATAACCTTGGTCCTTCATATCTCAATCAATCAAACATCACAACATACACATTCCACAATAATCTATTCGCTTAGAAAACATATTCCAATCGATCTACCTTACATCGCAATCAATTATTTACTTCAGTTATTTTCCTTTGTACGTAAAAATAAAAAGTTTCATGTTACTTAGAAATAACTTCTAATAGTGATTGTTATCATTTGTTCTTGACCTTCTATGAAAAGATAAGAGAAAAGTATGCATGGTCCATGTACAAACGCGCAAAACCTTAATTCGAAAAGGAAAATGTTAAGTTCGTCTAATTTAAATAGCTACATGATTAGTATTAAAATAGCATAAGTCCAGCTTATGGATTTAGTTTTATGAATGCTTATAGAGCTTTTCATCGAAAAATTGATTACTATCTACTGATGTCTCATCAATCAGTGTCACAGAGACAACATCCAGTAGGCGATATATAATAGCAAAGCATCCTGATGCTGCCATCGCCAAACTGGTTCTCATAATTGCCAATATCATTCAAATTTATATATAGAGAAACTTATTGTTTCACATTACTTATCATGTGTACGCGAGGATAAAAAAAGCAAAAGATGGCCTTGAAGTGTCTTCAATGAACTGATCATGCGTATTGTATATATATTGATATATGTAATCTTTAAAATCCTCTGACTATATGGAAAAAAATAAGCCTACCTTCAATATTTAACTAGAAGAAAGGAAAAGAACAGAACGACGTACGTCAGCAACTGTGACCAACATGTTGAAGATACTGTGCTTGCAAATGCAAGAATGCATACATATACACACGTTTCATTGTGTATATATCAACGTCATTATCGTCGCTGTGTCGTCGCTCTTCGTTTCTTTTTTTTTGTGGTTGTCTATCTAGGCGTTTATGATGTGTGTATGTAAAGACTTTTTCTTTCTTTCTTGCTTATATTAGCCTGATAGTTTTTTTTTCGAGCACACGTAAAACGCATGGGATGAAAATCTATTTCATGTATTGGCCTCTTTTTTTCAAGCTCGATCTTTTTCCTCATTGGTAATTTTGCTTACTAACATGACGTTTTAAGGTGGCTATTGGAATAGATGCTAATACATATTTCATTGTATTGAGAAAGTGCGATGGAAAAAATGCTGCATAATTTGTTTCTGATTTTGATTATGTTTCTTGAATAAAATATTTATAATAGTCAACATGTTCTTTACTGTGACATCTGTAAATAATAAGCGAATAGGGATGTGAAATATTTGTACCTAAAAATAAATCGATTAACAATGACTTATATGGTAATCAGTAGGCGTGTTTGTAAAAAATTGCAATGTTCATTTTTTTTGTTTCAATGAAAAATATAATGAATAATATGGATTGATATTATAATTTAAAAAAAAATAGGATCTTCTATTGCATTAAGGAAAAAAACCTGTTTATTATCGACGAATATATTCTTCGATGAAAGATTTTGTTTGTTTTTCAACTTGATCATCATCTTTAGGCCGTCTATTAATTGCTAACGGTGGTCGAGAAAGATGTTCATGGTTAGGATTATGATTGTGATGATGGGAGTGATGATGATGATGATGATGATGATGCTTTTTTGTATGTTGGTGATGAGGATGACTCATTCGACTACAATGAAAGTAATAGAATTCAAGAAAAGCAATGTCAACATTTCTCATAATTTTATTATGCACTTATAATTATCATGACTTTTATTTTGTTGTAACCATGATAATTCAATAGGTCTTTCATCGGATGGATCCTTTAATTTATCATGTTGTTGATTTGGTATTTCTGATTCTTTTCGTAACTCTTTTTTTGATGTAGATTGCAAATCTGATTCATCATTTCTTGGAGTTATAAGTGAGTTTTTGCGATGATTACCCACATGGGTTCTATAATTTGTAGGAAATTCAAAACTTATGAATATTGATTTGATCACCTTACTTTTTTTCTTGTAATTCTTTGTTACCATTATTGCCCATAGTTGTTTTACGATGTCAAGTGACTTGTGCTTCTTTTGAAATTTGCTTTTTTCTGGAGCATGCTATTTACATAAGAGGAAATACGACTTATTCGAGAAAAAAGGATCGACACATGTGCTGATTCCATTAGTTTCAAGTGTTTCACTTGAAAATGTGAAATCGATCAACACACGTAAGCATCGAACTTCAACGTTTTGAAGGCTACATAAAATACATTCTACATGCACAAAGCATGTATTAACTACTGGATTAAGTTAACAGAAGAATTGCTGTTCATTCATTATTCATTGAAAGCATTCATCGACTCCTGGAAGGCCGTTCATATTGGACATTTTATGCATCAGGTGACGTTCAACGAAGAGAAGCTTATGTAATAATCAAATAAAATTATAATTTAGTATCTTGAGCGAAATGATTAAATCAGTGCTGATCAAAATGATACGATTAGATAGAACAATTCATTACTAATTTGATCCTTCCAAAAGCAATCATCTATAAAGAAATTATTAAAATACTTTCGTACGAATGAACATTCAAGATCAGTCATCAGTCAGAAATGTGTACCAGGATACATTCACCCCAATTTGGGAACGTTTTCAAAAGTTGATGTCGGTTTCGTTTGAAAAAGAAATGATAACAATAATACGTCTGAAAAAATAAATACATTCTTTTAAATCAAAAATAATTAGCCCTGTGTCGAATTTTAAAACGACTTGAAGAACTCATCAGCATCATCTCGATAGTCTTGATGGAAGATTTGTCAACAATGCAGTCGAGTGGAAGTCAAGAATGAATCAGTGTATCTTATTTTTATTTCATTCTTCAATTAATAGCGTTGTCCTTCTGCAAATAGGTCTAGAGATAGAGATAGAGACTTATTATTGTTCTATTATTTACAAAGTTTACTACATCTCTCAAATTGTTGAACAACATCATGCAACTTCCAGTTCGCGTCAGTAAATTATCCTCACTTAACCATCATTTTGTAATAAATATGTATCTAACTTGAGACAATTATCGAAGTCTGTAAAATATTGGAGATGTTCTATAACATACTTCATTTCATAATGAATTTCAATCAAGCATCAAACATATATTTCAATTTTCTTTGTTTGATATTAAGAAATACTTCAATGATTATTTAAAAATAACATTTATTTGTCAAAATTTCATGATTCAAGGGCAACTGTGAGAGATTTTTTCCATTACACATTCAAATATTGTCCGTGATGTGTCCCATGATCCACCCGAGATTAAGCGGTTCACGTATTCTACGCCATTTAGCAATGCCATCAACTCGTAATGAACTCCTATACTTCCAGGAGGCAGTATCAATTCAATCAAGCAACGATTAGGTTTCATAAACAGAACATGAGTTAAACCAGCACCATGAACACCAATAAATATATCTGTTTGACTAATCACATTTAATTGTTGTTCCATACTTGATTCTTCGAAATGATTAAAACTGAAGTTAACATTCGGATACTTTGAAAATTTCATTTTCAAATCATCAAGTATTTGTTGTTCGTTTGTTAATTGTCTTGTGATTTTTCCTGAAGGATTTCTTGGATGAGCAACGTAATTATGTCGAACAAGGAAAAATACATTCAACGCTTGACAGTTTACTTTTTCATTTTCTTTATAATTAATATTGAATTGTTTTAAAACATGTTCACGAAATTTGACAAAACAACTTGGCGCACTTTTTCGATATCGTTGAACATCTATTTCCGACTGTGATTGTGGTTGTGACCATATGAGTTCTCGATAGAAAATCGATGGCGAAGCTTTTAACTCTCCTAGTCGAGTGTACGAATGAAATAATTGTGACCATAATATATCTAAACTGCCTTTTGGATGAGCATCAAGAAAAAGTATTCGAACCGATTTCGGATCACGTCGAAAGAAACAACATAAAAGATAAACTGTATATAGATCGGTTATTGTATGATAGAAATTGGCATAATCTTGGCGATTAACAGCAATTGTTGTTTCATTAATTATTTGTGTAACTGGATGGGTTTCATAAGTAGTCAGAGATGAAAAAACATTTAATAAATGACTATTGGGGATGTTTTCTTGAATGTTTTCAACATTGCACGAAAGCTAAAACAGAAAATAGATAGATTTGTTGTTAGATTTTGTTCTCAAATTAATACTGCTTTACTTTAATAAAATCTTTTTCAAATTGAAAATATTCATTTTGTTCGGGTTGATTCAATACAGTTTGAATGTCTTCTCCGCCTATTAGCTTTCCTTTTGCATATTGAGGTTGCAGAATAATTGCACGTGTTAAAACAAATAGTTTATTATATACAGTTAGAGACGAGTTGCACAATTGCACTTGATTTTCACACCATTTTTTCAATGGATCACCAACACAATTTAATGTTGTTTTATTAATTAAAATGTTTTGAAATGTAGAAACAGTGCGCGCATGAATTGAAGCTGAAGAATTGGTTTTAGTTTTCTTTAGAGCAAGAAATGACGAGATGCAAAGAATGACAAAGATTGCATGGAAAAAGTAGTTTCGCCGACGGCTGATTGTGAGTCTTGAATGACACCGGATGCACATTGAAACTGGAATGTATCAGTAAAAGAAAACATTGAAAATGATATGTGTTTGTTTCATGTCAGAAACGAATTGTCAAATTAAAGTTGTCTATCTTGAAGTCACTCTCACTAAAATAATAGGCAATTTTTTATGTTTTTTAATTATTCAATTCTCAGTTGTTCATAAATATCATGTGAGACAATACGAAAACTATTGAAATCAATATTTCTTCATTCTAACAAGTAGAAAAGGCGTGGACTATAAGTGCACACAATTAATTCTCTACTTTTGTACTTTTTGGAAGATCAATCTCTTTAGCTGTAGAAAATTCGGCTCGAAATGAATTATAGATTTACAGTTTATTGAGAGTTCAAATTAATTATTCATACAATCGAGTAGATAAAATCATTACTGGAAAATATGTGCATATTTTTGTTGAAATTGAAATAGAATATCTTGCAATTTCTAAATTAAACTTGTATAAAACGATCATAGTTTTTGTCAATTTGTTTTTCTTAGTAAGAACAGAGAAACAACGTAGCTGATATACCAAAACAAATTTGTAAGGAACTCTTCAGAATTGAATACAGAGATAAGTAGGAATGAAATTCCTAATATTCAAGATAAATTACCATCTTAGTACGTAAAGAAGCAATTTGATCTTGATATTCATCGTTTCCGATCAAACTATTTTATTACAGCTATCTTATCGAAGATGTGACAGCTGGTTTCGATAAGCGTAAATGTGTCTTAATTCCACCAGTTGAAATACTTGCTTCTTGTCACATGATACGCAGCCGATATGATGGTTTTGAATTCCTTCTAAACGAAAGGGCATGCCTTCTAATCGAAAATAAATGTATTTTTCACTGCTTTTTGAGTATGTTCTAACTGTTATATCAAGCTTGTATGGAATTATACTTAATATCATGACACGTTTATAAGTATGTAAAAACCTGCTGAATCAGATAGAATAAATTTTGAAGACCATTCAAATCAAATATTCAAGTATGAAGGTCTCGTTTATCTTTTCTTTGTTGACTAAAATATAAATTACGGGTTACTCCTGAAATTCGATTACAATGGAAGAAATAAATGAAGCTGTCGGTAAAAATGCATGAAAAAGTGAATAGAACAATTCTGTCAAAAGAAAAAAACAAATCCTTCTTTATTTAAAACTAAATTTCTAATACTATAAAATATTATTACAGAAGAAAATATTTGCTCGTGATATTGTCGTTTAAAACTCATTTGAAAAGTATGCGCAAATCAAACTGTAGTCATTTTTGTAAGTAACAAAAGCAATTCTTTGATACTAATAATAATAAAAATCGTGAATAATAAGAATATGAATAAACACTATGATGAAAATGAAGCTTTTTTTTCATGTCTTTCTGATTGTTTCTCAATCACTTCAATCGAATCTATGTAAACATGTATGACTAAAACACAAAAGCAGCGACCTTCGATAGACATAGCCTACAATCTCAAAACAAACAGGCTTATTATGATTGTTGTTATCTAATAGATTTCTAACTGTGCTCAATATCTATGTTATAACAGATAGAAAAAATTTAAAATAGCATCTTCAGAGAATATTAATGCTTCTAAATATGAAGAACAAACTCTTGCCTACTAACACAATAGCTGAATTTTTGTTGTTAATCAATGTCATGAAATTCTAGTTAGTTCTTTACTCACTTTATCTAAAATGAACAAGAGGTGACCAATAATGTTAATTATACGAATAATTTTGTTGATATATATATTTGTATAATAGTGCCCACGTGTACGTATTAATACTTACGTCGTCAATTCTCACTGTTCTTTTCTTTTCTTCACACTATTTCTTTCCTAGTTGTATTTGTATCGTATGGCGCCCTCATCGAACAGGAGAAAAATATACGCTCTTGGTATACCTGCTTTCTTTTCTTTTCGAACTTCCTTTTCGTTTATGCATCAATGATTACGATGGTTATCTGTATAACTTTCACTCAATATTATCATAACAAATGGCAGAAAGTAAGAAAACGAGAGATATTGATTACGATGACCAGTAACTAGAAAAAGGAGAGCATTGAACACTTTAGTATAGACAGAAAATAGCCAAGAGAAGCGTACGAGAATAAATGATTTTTATTATCACCTATCTAACCAAGGACAATATTGATAATACAACGTTATATGCATGAACACGCATCAATGCGTGAACTATATTTATAGTCTACCATTGGATACAGGCAACTCGATGTGTTGATTTCAGTGCTCAATGAGCTGAAGACCTGACAAGCAATAGAACGATTGTCTAAAAAAAGAATCCAAGATCTATCACAATAAAAGTGGTTTAATTGAATATGTGTCTCCTTCTCAACCTGTTCATAACAGCCAGACATAGGCAGATTAAAATATTAATAATGAGAATATAAGTCAATTTCATAGAATGCATAAACTATTCATGAAATATTATTCTCTCCTGAAGATTTTTCTTTCTCCATAGTACAACAACAGTAATTTTGATACTTGAGTTCATCATAATCTTTTTAGATAACAGACTACAGAAATAAATAGCTTTTATCAATATAAGAGAGGCATTATTTCTACGTCTCTGGATAAAGAAAAAACTTGTCTGCGAATTTTTTAAATCAATTAAAGAACTTGTTTGTTAAATAACTGATTTCTTTTTATACATTATTAAATTCATATTTAGACGTGTACTCAAAGACTCAAAATGAGAAAATTTATCGTGATTGCACTATTATTATGAAACTTGATGAAGTTAAGGTTATGTGCCATAGTTCTTATAAGTTGATATTAACTATTTCATATAAAATTATGACATTATCGTACAATATATGTCAAACATAAATAATTTTACTAAGGTAATCGATCAGAAAGAAGGCATTTCAAGCTTGTTTTTCGAAATATTTTACATAATCAAAACTTCGCAGGCTAATTGAAATTGTTTTATTATTATGGGCATTGTTCGACTTGAACTCTCGTAATAAATCATGTTATATGTTTTATTCTTTTTCTGAACTCACCGGAATTTCAACCCGTCATTAATGTGCAAAATAAACAAAGTTTGTTTGAAAAATAGGAAAATAATATCTCATGATAGGATAGCAATCAAGCGGCTCGAGATTAGAGTAAAATCAATAGATGTTTCGGATATTCGATTACTCATCCCACTCATCGTATATAGATGCTTAAGATGACTTCTTTATTCTTTCGATGTCTAGCTTCGTCAAGACTTCATTAAACAATTGCTACTGTAAGATAAGATATATTTCAACAATTATTTAAAACTTCAAATATAAGCGGAAAACTCTAGCTTAAAAGATAAACTTACTCGTATTTTGCCTCTGAATCTCATAAGATTATTCTATAGTGAAAAAACATAGGAACTAGATTTCTCCTACGTTAAATGTATAGCAGTTATGTAGGTGGCTCAATTATCGAACTGAAATCATTTGCCTGAGAAAAATATGAAACGCTGTTATCTGGACCGATTTCAGTTTTGATATAAACGAATACTGTCTGAGTTGAATGGTCAGCAATCCGGCATTACTCGAGGCATAGCAAGTTACAAACAAGATAAATTTTCATATTTTCTATAAGAAATATTAGTTCACTTGATGGTTATTTTCCAAAAATCTTTAAAAAATATCTTACTTAATCATTCATGAAATTTATAACAAGACACACAACGTCTAAATTTTCAATCGCCTTTGTATCTCGATATTATTAGAGTCATTGAACACCTACCTGTCAAAACGAATTTCATATCAATTGTGCATAGATAAAGTGCTGAAAATTTTAGTTCAATTAAAAAAGAATCTCCTATCTACATAGATCTATAGACTAATGTGCAAGTGAACACTTTTAAATGGATCACAAGATTGCTACAACAAAAAGATTTTTCCATTTACACCATTTTTAAAATTCATTTAGAAAACAATTGATGTCAGTGCCTGAGAAATAAGTTTGAACAATCTTCCAAATATCAACTAATGTACTTGAAATTCGTTAAAAAGAAATACATTTTAGAATTTACATTGCATTCATACCCAAACCAATTTCACTACTTAGTACCATATTATATCCCTTATCTCGAAAGAACGTAAAAATCAAAATGCTATACTACTATTAGAAATGCTTCCGTTAATTCTTGGCAATGTCGAAAAAATCGGTTGCGCATCATTTTGAACGGGCGCGAGAGAACACATTCGATCAATTTTCGACTTCACACATTCAAATATTGTCTGTGATGTATCCTGTGATCCATCAGTGGTTAAACAACGACGATAATTAATACTATTAATCGATGCCATCAATTCAAAATGATGTTGCGATTCCCATAATAACGTAGTCAATTCAATCAAGCAACGATTAGGTTTCATAAACAGAACATGAGTTAAACCAGCACCATGAACACCAATAAATATATCTGTTTGACTGATCACATTTAATTGTTGTTCCATACTTGATTCTTCGAAATGATTAAAACTGAAGTTAACATTCGGATACTTTGAAAATTTCATTTTCAAATCATCAAGTATTTGTTGTTCGTTTGTTAATTGTCTTGTGATTTTTCCTGAAGGATTTCTTGGATGAGCAACGTAATTATGTCGAACAAGGAAAAATACATTCAACGCTTGACAGTTTACTTTTTCATTTTCTTTATAATTAATATTGAATTGTTTTAAAACATGTTCACGAAATTTGACAAAACAACTTGGCGCACTTTTTCGATATCGTTGAACATCTATTTCCGACTGTGATTGTGGTTGTGACCATATGAGTTCTCGATAGAAAATCGATGGCGAAGCTTTTAACTCTCCTAGTCGAGTGTACGAATGAAATAATTGTGACCATAATATATCTAAACTGCCTTTTGGATGAGCATCAAGAAAAAGTATTCGAACCGATTTCGGATCACGTCGAAAGAAACAACATAAAAGATAAACTGTATATAGATCGGTTATTGTATGATAGAAATTGGCATAATCTTGGCGATTAACAGCAATTGTTGTTTCATTAATTATTTGTGTAACTGGATGGGTTTCATAAGTAGTCAGAGATGAAAAAACATTTAATAAATGACTATTGGGGATGTTTTCTTGAATGTTTTCAACATTGCACGAAAGCTAAAACAGAAAATAGATAGATTTGTTGTTAGATTTTGTTCTCAAATTAATACTGCTTTACTTTAATAAAATCTTTTTCAAATTGAAAATATTCATTTTGTTCGGGTTGATTCAATACAGTTTGAATGTCTTCTCCGCCTATTAGCTTTCCTTTTGCATATTGAGGTTGCAGAATAATTGCACGTGTTAAAACAAATAGTTTATTATATACAGTTAGAGACGAGTTGCACAATTGCACTTGATTTTCACACCATTTTTTCAATGGATCACCAACACAATTTAATGTTGTTTTATTAATTAAAATGTTTTGAAATGTAGAAACAGTGCGCGCATGAATTGAAGCTGAAGAATTGGTTTTAGTTTTCTTTAGAGCAAGAAATGACGAGATGCAAAGAATGACAAAGATTGCATGGAAAAAGTAGTTTCGNATATACAGTTAGAGACGAGTTGCACAATTGCACTTGATTTTCACACCATTTTTTCAATGGATCACCAACACAATTTAATGTTGTTTTATTAATTAAAATGTTTTGAAATGTAGAAACAGTGCGCGCATGAATTGAAGCTGAAGAATTGGTTTTAGTTTTCTTTAGAGCAAGAAATGACGAGATGCAAAGAATGACAAAGATTGCATGGAAAAAGTAGTTTCGGCGACGGCTGATTGTGAGTCTTGAATGACACCGGATGCACATTGAAACTGGAATGTATCAGTAAAAGAAAAGTAAAAACGAAATGTAACAAATCATAAGAAAAAATTTTATCTTATTTCTACAAGTTTTAGGATATCTTATCAGAAAAAAGAGAAAATTGCAAGAGCTAAAATGAAAGATAGGTTCATGAATACGATGTATGTTTCGTTGCGTTGGATTAAAATCATTGTATTATTACTTTAAGACAGCTGAATATTAGCGATAGAAAAGTATGTTTTATAGCATAGTTGGTTGATAAGCAAATGAATATTTACGTTTTTTCTCTTTCGAGTCAAGTAAGGAGAAAGGCGTAAGAATATATGGTTTTCTGTATTCACTTCATCATAAAAAGTAACCAAGAAACATTCAGACAGTATAATGAGAAATTAATTCATATCGGAGTAAAACTAAAAATACTTTTTACGACATGGAATTATTTATTCCTGTACAATATGAGTGTGCCCAGGGTAAAGAGTTTTTATTCTAACAGGTAAGATATTTTTTAACTCGCACAAAATTTTCAATATTTTTTATTATTATAGGAAGATAGATTACTGATCTATGTTTCTTGTTTATGATTATACTACTATCATCTGTTAATTTCCACTATGTTTATTCGACGCTGATTCTACTAGGATGAATATTGACTTTTACAAACCAACGATGAGGACTGAATAGCATAGATTGATTGATGTTAATAGAGATAATATTTTAACCTTTGAAGCGAGATAAAAATCTGAAGTTTATCATCGGCGCACTCGATTATACTTCAAATACAATGAGTTCTGATTATGATAGAAAAAAGATGAAAATTTCTCCACCAGTGCGATTCATCCAAGAAAGAGTCATCGATTATTCTTAATGTAACCGAAATGAAATGTAGAACTATTAGTTAGATTGCTAAAAGCTTATATATATTTTGTGACCACGTTCTATCTATAATATAGTCAATATGATAATGTTTATTATTTTCGTTTCTTCAAAATACACTCACTGATCCTTTGAATATGTATGGTAGCAATAACAGTATCTATTATTAAGAATTCTTGCTGTTTTATAGTTGATGAAAATTTATTCATGTTTACCAGTAGCTAAAATTTGTAGGCCAATTGTTCTTCAGTCTATTTTGAAAAAAAAAGTACCAGCTGGTAAAATCTCTCTCAGTTATTAATATGTATATGATCTATAGTGTATTTTATCAGATATTTCAGTTTATGCCTATATGCTATTTAAATAATCGAAAGACTGTTGCTGCGTTTTTTTTGCAAATCGTAAGTACGAGTCACTTTTGTGGCGAAGATAGAGAGTCATTTGAATCAAGATAAAACGCAATCGTGTCTATTATTAAAACCCGATGTCATAAAAAAAAACAATGTGATACAGTCGCTGCGAACTGTTGAAAATTACAATGAAAATAGCTGTGATATATCAACCACAAAAAGCCCTATTATAAAATTTTTAGCGACTAGAAAATGGATCGATTAATTTTTCTCTAGAATTTATATATATCAAATGATTTCTTTTACCTGTAAGAAAAAGTATCGAGTAGCATAACTTAAGAAGTACAAAATGACTCATATTCTGCATATTGAATAACACAAAAACTAATAACACATCAGATAAATACGTAGATCTATTAGACTTTAAAAAAGCATGACTCAAATCGATTTTCTATGTTAACAGATAAAATTTGACTTTTTATGGATGTCAGTAAAGAATCATGGTACGCTGCAAAAAAAAATCCACAGAATAATAAACGGATAAAACGTTTCTGATAGGATATTTAACAAGAAAAAAGGTTTATGAAAGCGCAACGTATCATAAACCTTTTTTTCCGTATATGACGAAGATAATAAACGGCTTTTAGATTTATGATTTGGAAAAAGGTTAATCAGATATTTTAAAAACGGAAAAAAAGAGTATGTGCCACGTTGCACTTTCATAAACCCCTTTTTTTACAGTAGAAGTCGATTCATCTGAAGAATTACATGTTAAATTTATTTTCAACAAAGTCAACAATGATAAGTAAATTTATTTGACATAGCATTTATACTAAACGTTATCTTCCTCCTTTTCATGTTTGCCATCGAATCTCTAACTTTCTTACCGATTAGACTTTAAAAGTACGTCTCATTATAGAAAAAAGTTCAATGAGTGAAATACTAGCAATTTTCATTCATTCTAAATCCGCATTTTTCAAGATTAAATTAATTCAGTAGAAAAAAAAACACATGCGCTTCTATTACTTGAATTGCCTTACTCCTGTATAAACCTAACAGAATATTATAAGAAGCAATTCTATGCATATTTTTTATTAGGTGAAATCACTTAACTCTTTATATCTGATAACAAAAAAAAATGCTCTTACATAAATTTCACATTGTTCGAACAGGAAAGAAAAAAAAGACATTTTTCTCGTTGTCTATGTTTCATAGAATCATTAGTGATTTTTACTAAAGGTTTATTAGTCATTCTCTCTGTATTATTTTCTCGTTAATGTGGATGTAAAAAGAGAAAAGAAAGCTTAGAAACTCATTATAGTTCATTGTTATGTTCATTTCAAGAAAACGCTGGTACAAACCGTAATAATGAATTTTGTTTTTGCCAACAGTCAAAGAAGAAAATGTCAGAACTATTCCAACGCAGAAAAAGAAAAGAAGACTTTTCCCTAGCATATAAATATGAGAATAATTATGTATACAGAACAATGTAAAGGACGTTTGACAAATGATATCCTTTACTCTTGCGTGACAGAAAAAATAATAAATGCATTCTCATTGAGAATTTTCTTCTGAAAAAAGATCCAGATAGCTTACAGGATTATACGCATTTCTATCGGTAAACAATGCCATGTGACAACTTAGTAAATATATCATAATATTCTATATGTATGTGAATTCGAAATTATGCTGGCGGGTACAAGAAAATTTAATAATTAAAACTTTTATTTTGTTTTACTTATAAAATGTTTTCATCAAATAATCAAAATGATCATAATAAATTAGATAGAAACTCTGCATTACTAAATAAATGTCCACATGAAGCTAATAGTTCATTATCTATATCTGATGTTTTATTTCCATGTATAGATGAAAAATCTGATATATTATTAAAGTTAGATGATTTATGCGTAAAACAAACGAAATTAGAAGATAGCGTAAATCATGTTCAAAAAAATTTGATTACTCGTAATTTAGTTGATAATTATAAAAAACAAATTGATCAATATCAAATACTTTTAACATGCATGGACAATTTACAAGAATTCAAAGATAAATGGGCATTTTTTCGTATATTTATTGAGCGTTTTTGTTTAGATTTATATAATTGGAAGCCAATTGCTCACTCTATTTATCATATTAACTATTTAATTAATAATCTTGACAATTGTCAAATGAAAGAATTTATACGAAGTTATTTTGTAAATGTTTTGAATAGTTTTATATTGTTTGTTAAATATTTAATTACTATACAAATAAAGTCGCAAAAACAACAGTCAAGCGATCAGATCACGGGGAAGAACGATTCGTCGAGAAAAAAGTATGACATTTAGTTACGATATTTACTCGATGAATAATATTAAACCTTCAGTAACTATATATTAAATAAACTACTTACAATGAGACAGCAATCCATATTTTGTTGTAATATGAATATAACAGATAAGAAAAATTTGGCAATTAAATTCTTTTTTCAAACTTTAGTTTATCTCTCTCTTTCTAATCGTATGCAGGGTGTTTAATTTCCACTTTATAAAAAAATTTTCTTTTTAAAAATAGCTATGTGTATGCATAGCACTTGAAACTTCTAAGAATATGAATTGCTTCGTTCAAGCATGATATTATTCTTACTTTCTATTGTAGAAATAAACATAATTGATTATGGTGAAATACACCATTCAGACCTTTTCAACACAATATTTTTCTTAACATTAATTCTTCTATGGGGAAAAATTATACTCCAATAAATTTTGACTCAAATCGATATAGAAACTATTTGTAGAACATAAGAATAATAGCTAAAAGATTATCTAGATAGTATTTTACAAAAAAGAAAAGATTTATGATATTTACATTTCATCTCAATAGCTATTTGAAAATTATTAGATTCTGTTTCTTTTTTTATACAACCACAATACATCCGTATTTTTCTTCTATCGTAGAGCAATAAAAGTTGTAATCGATTTGACATATCGGTTGACTGATTAGATGTTTATGATATTCAATATGCAAGCAATATGTGCGTCTAGTATTTATTAAGAAAATGCTTTTATGAGTATAAAATTCCCCGTTGAACTAGTAAAGAAGGCGGCTTGTTTTTCATATCATGATTTACTTGTCTTCAAATAGTCAATTGAAAATTAGAGAAATATGAGTTGTCAACTGCTGCAAATTTTTTAAGAGATAATTGCTGTTGTCGTTGTCTCAACATAAAAAATACATACTCCCTTGAAAATTTTTACACGACTAGTTATAAAGACATCTTCAAATCGTAGTACTTGAATCGCTTCAAGTTAGTTTCATTTGTAGTTTGTGTGATCAGATATCAGACACGACTTTACTTCTATTCACATTTTCTTATCGAGGTGATGATGAAACAAAGCCTAACCTCGATCACAACTAGAATAATCTCTTTCAACTAAACCTCTTCTTATTGTTATATTTACTTATTTTCTTAGCCTGCATCGGAATCTCTCAGTCTTTTTCTATTTTTTTTTGTTAAAGAAATAGTCAAAAGTAACACCTGTATTATTTTAGTAATATTTTTGACTCATCTTATCATTTATTTTTAGTAACATATTTGTTTCTAATGTTTCACAAATAAATTTCGACAATCAAATTGAACAACACGTTCAAAATCTTAAAAATGATATTAATAGTTTAAAAGAGTTAATCTTAACAGCTAAACAACGTTTTAGTATATGTCAAGCAGATACGAACGCTATTCAAACACTTGTCGACGGCATCGATAATATCAATCTGAATAATATAAATTTTGATAAGCAAGATCAACATAATATTCGTTTATTTAAATTAAAACAAGATCTATCACAAAAATCAAATAAAACTGATTTAATACAATTGAAAGCTTCAATTGATAATCAATTAAAACAAATCATTGAACTTAACAAACAAAATGCTATGGAATTAGAACGAATTAAACTAATGAACACTGCTACATGTGAAAGTCGTCGTATACAAACAATCCTTTCTAGTAATCTATCATCTCAAATTAGAAAACCCAAACGTATGCATTCGTATCAAAGTTCTCGGCCCTATATTACTTTGGAATTAGATGATATTCGTAAATATCAACGGCAAGCATTATTAAAATCACCCTATGGAACTATTCCACTATATAGACGACAAGCATGGGTAGGAATATTTTAATTGAAAATTAAAAAATAAATAAAATGAAATATATTTTCTTTTCAAAGGCAGCAGCTAATCTATTGCAGGATCATCAGTCATTAGATTTATTACGTTATACACAAAATTCACTTCGAATGCAAGTAAAAATGTAAAATTTTTTAAACTAAAATCTATAATCCTGCTCTTTAGATACATCATTTATTAGGTTACGATCCATCGGATATTTGCAAGAGTAATAAGAAAAAGAAAATCAATAAAAAGTCAAATATAAAAATATTTAATACTCGTCAAGATATACTAATTGCTGGCAATAATAATCAATTCTATCGAGGTCACATTGATACTTGTCAAATAGTGCCATTAAAAAGTTCCCAAGTAAAAAAATCTCAAATTCAAACAAACATAGATGAAAATAATGAAATAATAAATGTTAACATCGATCAACTTAATCAAACGAATAAGACAATAGTGGATGAACATTTATTTGAATATTTAGATTGGCAAACACAATTTAATGAACAAGTAATTAGATACTTGATGAACATATTTCTGATAAATTTTTTTTATTAGGATTTACCAGATGAACTTTGCGAAGAACTATTTCAACATTGGAAATCGATTATCTTTGAAGATCAACCACATATGTGTAATTCGAAATCAACTTCAACTCTATGCCAAGAGAAATATGATTTAGAACAAAATTCAATTGATGCCCACGTCGATACAGCATCATCATCGTCATCATTATTAAAAGATATTTATGATGATCATTGTCTGTGTAGTGATTGTTCATGTGATTGTGAAAAATATCCAAGTGATGAATCTATGTGTGCATGTTCACAATGTGCATGTAAATGTTTAAAAGATGTTCAAAATGAAAATCAAGATACGATTGAGGATACAACTGAAGTTTGTGAACACAATATATTAGTTTTACACCAAGAAACTAATTTACAAGATCATTTGATTAATGAAACAAATGCTAATGAAGAAATTCAATTGACAACAACTAATCAAATTCCAATCCTGAAAGAAATTCAACAAAACGAAGAAGACAAAATACTAATATCTGATTGTTTTATGAATCGTGCAGATCGTTGGACACACCAGTTTGATATTTTTCAGGGTATTACAATAGAAATTTTCTCTTAAAAAGATTTGAATATTCTAATTGAAATTTTTTTTTCAGATATGTGCAAGCCATCTTCATTGCACGAACAAAAAGATTTTTCGACATTGCATAATATTTCTCAGTTTGAAAGTGTTGTTTCAATGGCTTCTCGATTTACTTCTATTTCTAGTCGACTTGAACTAGATGATCCGACTCGTTTCCGGCTGCAACTTCTCAATCATCATCGATGATGTGAATAGCTTTGCCGGGAACAACGCAATCACTTTTCTTTTTAACATACTCATTAAATATGCTTTCGATTTCTATCCCAGTCAGATACAGAATTTTTTTCAAAATAAATTACAAATAATTTCTTTGAATTCAATAACAAATAAGAAAGAAACAAAAGAAAAACAATGAGAAGCAAGCATCCATTATTATTAAGAATAATTTCGGCATGCGAATCACTATGTTTGCCATTCCAATATATTATTGTGTCGTAGCGTTATTACAGTATGGTAATTGATTGCTGCTTTCACATGCACTTAAAAAAAAATACCTTATGTAGACGAACGAGAGAGAGCGAGCGCTGAATTGACACACATACATATTTCTTCTTTTTTTTTGCCGACTTGTTGTTGTTACTGTTGCTGTTGTTATTGTTCATTTTCTTCTTCTTTTGTAACAACAGCATCTTTACTATTATTATTGCTGTTAACAGTTCGATCAATCGAGCATCATCTTGCTGAAGATTTAGATATAAAAATATCAAACTAATATTTCTTTTTCAAATAATGACTCAAATTGTATCCGTCCCATCCATTGCTAAATCGAAGTGAGTAAATCAAAAAATGTATCTCATTTATGTTACTAATAAGAAAATATTTTCAGATATAGTAGTGATCCGTTAAAAAATGATTGGAATGATTTTCAGCATATTGCAACACAAGCTCGTTATGTAGCACCAAAAACATTGTCTGAGTAAATATTTTAAATGTATAAAAATACTAAAAATTTGTTGTTTTCTTCAAAACAGACTGAAAAATCAACAATTTAAATTATCATCTGTTAAAAAACAATTATTTAATCCTAAACTACCATCGCTGCGACGTATGGAACGTGATGATGTCCTATGTCGTCTCGCAGATGAACATTGTCGTCATACAACCTCAATAACTGAAGGTTTATGATTTACATAAATAAATTCGATTTTTGTTACTTCATCTTTTAATTTAGAGCTATTCGAAAATTTTGATCCAACTAGAGATGATGCATATGTTGAGTTATTTGGATTAGTAAGCTAGCAAAATAAATTTGATTTTTGTTTACCAACGTTTTTCATCAATATTAGAATTGGCATGATACAGGTAAATCATTGATGGATTCAAATGATTTACCACAATTACAACAAGACGCACTACCAGTGTTCGGTGCTAGGTTTGCAGAAATTATATTACAAATTCAGACTTAATTAATAATTCTATGTAGACTTCGACCAGACAAGTCGCAAATAGAATCACGCCCAATTCTAAGTAAACTTTATCGAAGTCCATCGATGTCATGTTTAACACCTTCGGGCACATTAACAAAACCAGTTAAATATAGTTATCGTAACTATGGTAGTGGTACGTTTGATCTAACTACTAAAAATACCATGTGGCCAAGAGTATGCCTCTTATTTATAAATGCCTATCTGATCATCCTTTCTCTTTATAGTTTCATATGAATACGAAAAATTCATTTGATTCAATCAATCGAATGCCTTTACCCAGTTCAATGCAGGTGAATTGTTGTTAAACGATCATTATGTCCTCTTATTCATATTTATTGTTCATTTAGGGGATTTTCCGCTCCGCAAGTATGAATGCTACTGTTTCAACTGCTCCTTGGAAACCATCAGGTCCTATTGGCTGTATGAATAATTCAAAAATGGCAGAAGTTTAACAAAAAAAAATAATTCAGAACAGTGTTTCAATCTAACTTTAGTTATGCATGTATTGAAAAAAAGAAACAAAAAGACTTGAAAGTGATCGATCGTTGTTTATTTTGAGTAGGCATGAGTAGAAAAAGAACATCTTTTTTTTGTTCTACTACGAGAAGAAGAGCTGTGCTCTAATTAAATTGTTTGATATAAATGAACTGAAAATAAATATCTTAATTATCAATATAAATACAATTAGCTATCTATTTCTCTTGTCTCTCTTATTTGATTAACAAATAAATCGAATATGAAATTCATCGTTTGGATGATTCTGATTGAATAATTTATTTTTCTTTCATAGTGTCGAACATTTCGAGAAATGTCGACTCCATGTTTGCATTTAATCTTAATAAAAAGTTTTCAATAACAACAATAAAAAATACTATTTTTACAAGATACGACATTTCCTAGTTTTCAATCACATAAAATTTGTTGCTCTCAATATTTATTTCACTGTTATTTCAATTTAATCCAAAAAGACATACGAAACCAATTATTTTCATATAAAGAAAGGGATCATGAAGAAATTCGTCGTGGAGAAAATAAAAAAAAGACAATAATATTTCTTTCTTTCTTTCTTTTTTTCTTTTTAAAGAAAGAAGAAAAGAATGTGTTTGCACATCATACTAATGCATATAATATCTTGTAGTTTAATAGTGCACTGTCTATCTACAAGAATATATATATGTATTCTTTTGACATATCTGATCAAGATGACAAAACGATTAAGATATAACTAGTTTCTTTATGATTGATTATTTATCATAATTAGATACAAGTAACTTGATGAATATTATTACATATTCATGTATTGCTACTATTATTTCATAACTTTGACGAGAAACAGCTGATGGACTTGTCAAGGCCAGTAAAATTTGAAAACATACAAATATTCTTCGCGAGCCCTCGAAAAATTCAAATACATAGCTTTTTGTTCGTGTTTGTCAAATGTTGAGCCTTTCGACAGTCATCAGGATCCGAGCACTCAAAAACTTTATCCTATCAGACACTCATTTTCGACTGCTCGAGCATGTTCCGACACTCTGACACTCATCGAATTTTCAAGTACGTGATGCAAAGAAACATATCGAGATTGCAGCTACTCGGGAAAACGAAACATGCCGAAAGAATAATTTAGAATACTAAAGTAGAAGAAAGTCTAGTAGAATAACAATTTCGACTAATGATTTTTATTTTGATTAATACATGAAACTTGTCCAAAAACACGATTTAAAAATGCAGTTTTTATGTCCAGCTGCCCAGTGAAAAATATTACTAAAAAAGAACGGTAAAGAATGCGTTCCAAAAGAACTGAAGCTCTTTTTTTAAGAAAAGAAAACGTTCCACAACAAATGGAAACCGTTCTCAAATGGAACGCACTAGAACGCATTCTATCATTCTAAGAAGGTGTTCTTGGTCGTTTCGAAATGGAACAGTGAAGAACGCATTCTGCCACTTGTGGAACGCTTTCTCTTCTTTAAAACGGTTAACCTTTCTGATCACCTGGGTGATCATTAATAGATGAATCTACAATTAGTCAAAAGACTGTTCCTGATGCAACTTGACGAGCTCTATCGAATGGCGTACTCCAATTCGTTGTAACTGAAACCGTTATTAAAATAATAATTTTTCTAAATCAGACCAAATATCCCTAAAGTAAAATCGAATGAAGATTCCATCATTTCTCACATCAATTTCAACCTGCTTTGCTTCAGACCTTTCATTTTAGAATGAAAATGTGGTTTGCTTCGAAAAGAAAGCATTCATCTCTTCAGAGAATCCATTGTCTTAAAGGCTCGTGAGAGAACGTAAAAGGAAGCTATTTTATTTCGATGAAATGCTATGTTAACCGTTCCGAAAGAAAATGAACTAGAATGAATTCTACTGGTTTAAGAATGATTCAGAATGCTTTCTCTTCAAATAGGGAACGATTTTTCAGTATAGAAGAAAGTATTCCATACTACTGGGGAACGGTAAAGAACGAGTTCCTTCAGATTGAGAATATTTCTTTCTGACTCTGAACGCATTCGCTCAAACAAGGAACGCATTCGCTACGTAGAAGATAGGTTTCCATATCCGCATGAAACCATTCTATTTCGTTTTTTTTCGAAATATTTTTCACTGGGTGACTAAATAGAATTGTACATATTCGCTCTAAATGCCAGTCAGCTTGACTTTCTGACTTTTTAAAAAGAAATCATTAACTGATGAAAATCAATTTATGCGTTCTGGTACTTTGCATCATTTTCTAAAAATTTATTTTATGTGCAATTAGAAATAAGCAATATGATTTCAATCTAGTAAAAGACAAGCAACAGTTTTTCTTTTAAACGAAAATATTAGTTTAAACTTTTAAAAGCTACTTGTAAATCGTTCAGTAGTTTTAGTAATTGAAATAATGGTTTAAAAAAAAGACTTAGAGTTCATGTACGGTTTAGATATTGGAAAAAACTTAATTGAAAGTGTCAATACTAAAGTATCTTCATTCATCTTACACTTGACAGTTTTGAAAGTGTCGAGAATCAGATAAATATTGAAAAATATCTTTTTTTAAGTTTGATTTAAGCTCGATTCTTTCGAAATCAATTGTTTGAGTATTGGAAAAGACCTATTTTTAACTGGTCCGCATATCAGAAAGTAAAACTCGTCTGTTTTGCAATGAATTTTTTTGACTATCGAAACCTGACAGCAATGAATCGAGATGCCTACCCTAGTGAATGTACTCATCAAGTGAGTACTCATTAGTAGTACTTGTGTTTGGATCTGAGTATCTGGGTACAACTGTTGAGTACTCGCCTTATAAAATCGAGTGTTTCGTGAGTACTCATCATACATTCTGTGAGTACTCTGGTGGTTTTTTCGTAAAATACCCAGACACATATTTTGTTCAGTATCCTTTTACTAGGTTCAATGTATTTATTTCAAAAACTAATCATAGAACAGAGAGTTACACGATAAGAATCTGAGAAACGAAGTGTTTCATCGTCTTAAAATTTGTTTAATTATGACACAGAGATTAAACATTTATCCATAGAATGTAAGAAAAAATGAATAAAAATCTGTATTAAGAACACCGCAACATGTGTAAACACAAACACACATGAAAAATAAATTATGGATCAAATTAAGATAAGTGATAACAGTACACGTTCACTTTAGATCGTTACAAAAATATGAACATTTTAAATCGAAAACTTTAATTGTTAAGGAAAAAATAAAAAAATGTATGAACTGTCTTCTGTATTATTGATGCTTCTTCAGAATATTGAATCTCATGTTTTTGAAAAAATTTTCTCATTCGTCTTGTATTTCATTAGTATTCATAAAAAAAAATTAATTTTATCTAAATCCCAGGTCGAACATTCCGGCCACCGGATCCCGTAGGATACTCCAGGGAATATGCGGGAAAGTCACCGTATCCTGCAGGAAAACACGGGAAATCGCTGGAACATGGAAGCAGTATTCCGGTCAAAAATACGGCCGGACTTTTCCGGCGAATTCCTGCCAAGTTCCGGTGCTTTCCGGCAGGAATTGATCGGAAATCACTGGAAAAAACGTGAAAAATTTCCAACCGGAATACTGCTTCCACAAAATCAACGGAATTACCCGGTACCGGCCGTTTCCAGGCCGGACTGTTCGACCTGGGAAACGATATTTCATCTTTGATTTAAGATGTAAAATTTAACACATCATGTTATATTTTCAAATAAATATTTGGTCTTACTCGAGAAACCATACAATGGGGTATATGATTTCAATCTGAATTGTGAACAACAAAATGACTCGTCATTTCAAAAAGAAATGAGGGACTAGGGATCTTCGAAACTATTCACTTCGATGAATTCAGAAATGTGAAATCAACGGAATACTTCTTGTTTCGGGATTATATAGAGTTCGGCTGACCGTTTCAGCTGTGGTTGGAGCATGCGAAGCGTGGAAGCTGAAGAGATTATGGTGTAACTTTGGCGAAGAAACTTCGTTCATCGTCGTCTGCCTCGAATTCTTTACGGTTATTCTAAGACCCCCTACACCCATGGTCTTGGGAAAAGTACAGGTATTTTTTTCTTTTTTGCATTCAGTTTGAAATGGAATACCCCGTAGACTCCGAGAAACGAATAGCTGAAATGAAATGACTTTAGTTTTCTATTCTTTAAATAGTCAATTGATAAGCCACATGGGTGACTCATCACAAAAAATGGAGGATACCATTGATAATTTATTTAAAGAGTTCTTTCGGAATTTTCGTTTCATTATATAGTTGTTCTTAATTATGCGATATTATTTTATTTCGATGGATCCTAGTGCATAGATGTTTTGCTGAATGTCCTCTGAAAAACGACGATGAGTACTAGTTCGAGTATTCGTCATAGTACACGAAAAGTATAGTTACACATAAAATTCATTGAGTACTCACTCGAGTAATTTGAGTTCTCATGCTGCAAAGTCGTACTCGCTGGACGAGTATTTTCACTAGGGCATTTGTTATGTCAGGAGATATCTGTCCTGCCATAACTAATCTCTCACTTCTTCTCTCTGTTTCATTCTGTCGCGTTTACAATCATTCCATTCGTCTTCTCGTATCTACTCTATTTAAGTGAGTGTTAATGTTTAAAGGAGGGGGATTATTTATTGTGAAAAGATAATAATAAGAAGAAGGCGAAATAAAGAAGAAGATTGTAACAGTATTCAATAATTATTAGATAAGATTCTCTCAGGCAATATTTTGAAGCCATTTTCGAAGCTTGATTCGCCAGAAGGATTTTGTTTCTAGAAAGATAATAAAATGAAATAGACAGTAGTTTCATGCAATATTTTGAATAATACTGGAAATATTATCCGTTAGTATTTTCAAGTTTTCACTTTTTCATGTTACACTTTATGTTTCTCTACATAGATCACGGCAGCTTTGAGAAAATAATAAAAAGTTCGAACACAACTAGCTACAATGTATTCAATATAGATAAAGAAAAGAACAGGAATGTATAATGATATTGAAAACAACATTTAGGGTTTAGTATAATATTGTAATGCGGCATACTCATTACAATTGAACAACATCTAAAATTTTGGCTTTGAAGTTGCAGCCTGCACTGGTCGAAGAATCATTGAATTTTCTTTTGCAGCATCAGTTGGAATTATTTTATTGAATCGAGTCACTTTCAAGATTTGTCGATTCAATATTTTTCTCACTTCACTTGACATCAATACATAAATGTAAAATGTGAATACATAATTAAAATGATAAAAAATAAGAATAATTTGACCAATGAAATTTTCCAATGCAATACGCCAAGCATCTTTCTGAATGTAACTAGTCATTGACAGATAGATGCCTTGAAAACCGAATGGTATTCCAGATATGGCCAATATTATAAGTTGAGGAAGAAGCATTCTACGAACTTGTATTGTCAGACGTTCATTAGCATTGTGAGTAAAATTCGAACGAAGATTTTTTATAGTACCTCTTGTACTAAGAATAAATACTGCTGCTGGACCTAAGCCATAAACCAACGGTGTGAACACAAATGTATTGAATGTGGTATATGCGCAAGGTTTGAACACACAGACACCATGTATAATGTCCGTGGAAAATAGAATCGGTATATAAATGAGAATCCAAAAGATTATGTTACACAAAACAACTATTCGAGCAAAATGCAATGAACTCCAACGGTTTCGAAAAGCTACGTCTCGAGAAGTGGTAGCATATTGATTGAAAGCAGCCCAACATGGAAATGAAATTGCCGCTACTGTTGTCACATAACGTAAATATGTATGTTCACGACAAGCAGCCACATTTGTATTCATCAGTGATGTATTGAAACCATAAACCAGGATCGTTTGTATATAAATTAGTGGTAAATGAAGACCTGTTATAATTGCGCCAGCCAATAAATAAGCTACACTTGTATTTCGCAAGAATGAACGCTTTCTAGTAAAAACTACGACCGTCAGAATCGATCCCAGCATGCCAAAAATCAGAAAAGGTATACCAATTACATAGTTAATAAGACGAATTAGTAGATTGAATGTTTCTGTGGATATCATTTCTTTCTAGAATAATCTGTTTGATTCACGTTGATGTAGAGAACATGTAATTATATAGTCTATTCTCTCATCTCAACATCTATCTTATGTAGATTCTGAAGTTTTCCTTCCTTTCTCGTCTTTCACGGGCACTGGTCTGCTAGTGAGAGCATGAAAGATGATCACAAGGCAGTAATTATTAGCTTGATTTTCATCGGCTACATCCGTGAGCGACATGGATTTACCAAAATAATATTTCTTTCGCTAGATTATATCTTGTTTTATCTGATATAATTATTCTTCCTCACTACCCATGTAAACATGAAACGCAAAATTGACGCGTTGAAATGCGGAAACCGGTTTTATAATGCGGTCGAACGTGTTTTCAGTATGAAACGCATTAAGACGTAATTATAAAATGTTCAAAACGCATCTCATCCCGTTTATACGTTCTTTCGTAATTTTCGTTTCATTTCATAGTTATTCTTAATTATGTGTTACGACCTGCTCTCCGGTTAGGTCGTAGAGCCGCCCCATCTACAGTATCTCTTATTATTCTTCCTACATCTCACCTGTTGTTTGATTCGTACTCTCTTAGTGTTCATGATATATCTTTNCTTTCGCTAGATTATATCTTGTTTTATCTGATATAATTATTCTTCCTCACTACCCATGTAAACATGAAACGCAAAATTGACGCGTTGAAATGCGGAAACCGGTTTTATAATGCGGTCGAACGGGTTTTCAGTATGAAACGCATTAAGACGTAATTAGAAAATGTTCAAAACGCATCTCATCCCGTTTATACGTTCTTTCGTAATTTTCGTTTCATTTCATAGTTATTCTTAATTATGCAATATTATTTTATTTTTATGCATTCTAATGGATGGATGTTTTGCTGAAGGTCCTCTGAAAAACGACGATGAGTACTAGCTCGAGTACTTGTATTTTCGTGTAGGAGTAATTCTTAAAGAGAAAACTCATTAGAGTACTCGCCAGAATACACGAAAAGTATAGTTACACATAAAATTCATTGAGTACTCACTCGAGTAATTTGAGTACTCATGCTGCAAAGTCGTACTCGCTGGACGAGTACTTTCACTAGGGTAGATATACCCATAGAACATTCTTGGTCAAGTTGAAATTGCAGTACTGTTTTATATTTCAACTTATTGAATATTCAAGGAATTCATACTATAATCATTTTTGTGAATCAGTAGCTATTATATTCATTACAGTTTTATATATATATATATATATCTTAATTAGTCTGAAATAAACATAGTCGGCATTCTTGCATGTCTACCTCAATACATTTATTTCATATAGAGAAGGTCGCGAACGTACAGTGATAAACCTGTTTTCGAAAATTTAGATTTTGTCGTGAATAATAACGATTGCAAAAGGATGAGCCAGTCTCGTACGTTTGAAGAGTTATAAAAAATTGAAAAATTAAAATCTTATAGCAATTTTACACGTAATGGTTTCATTTTTGTTGACATTCACATAGAGTACACTGTAAAAAAAACGTATATTAATATACCCTTAAAGGGTTTATGATACGTTGCACTTTGATAAATCCTTCCAAAGGGTTTATTACTTTTGTTCCATGCAGACAAGCGCCTTAAAAAAAATGCGTTAACAACCTTTCAGAAAAAAGGTTCCAAAAAAACAAATGAGTACACTATAATTCTTTTTCGTTTGTGTTCACAATGCACGTCATAACGTATTTTTTGTAACTTATCTACTAGATTAAAATTAAGGTGTTAGAACTTGCTGTGTTGTCCTAGATTCGATCATGAGATGAATTGGTTGATATGATAGTTCAAGACGTTTTCCATTCGGTCAGTCGTACGATGATAAGATGAAGTAAGAAATGCTACTTAAATAGAACGAAATTTTATAGGAAACTGAAGGCGATATAAAGTTAAGCGGAACAATTGTTATTACATTTTTAAGTATTTAAATAAATAAGGAAAAATTTGTTTTAGAAATATATTTCTTCAAAAAGAATTTTAAAAAGATTTAAAAAAGTTTTGTTCCATTTTTTTGAAAAATTTTCTAACGCATTTCTTATTTTTCTAGAAATCTATAACGTATATATTTCTCATACGTTTATAAAATTGTTCGTCAATTTTTTAAATGTTTATAAGTACATGTATTAAAAATAGCACATATTTGTCTGGAGAGGTGTATAGGGCGTGGATCGTACTCTGGATAAAAACGGTGTCATATGGAACCGTATATGATTCTAGCCAAGATACTGAACCTTTTAAGGTTTCACTTGCTCATTAATAAACCACGGAGGGTTCTAGCTAGTTTAAAGAACCATCTCAGATCTACACTGATTCCGGATGTTTGAAAAGGTTCCGTTCTGCACCATTTTTTTTAATGTTGAACCATTTTTCCAAAGATGGTTCTGGCTTGAAGGAAGATACTATATTTTCGGAACGTGATTTAAGTAATATAAATCTCAAATAGCTTATTGAGGTCGAGGAATCCGAATCCGTTATCATTTTTTCGATCTGAGCTCCCATCGGTCAGGTAGCAGGTCCATTAAAAGTTCGACGACCACAAAGTTAAGCTTTTTATTTCAACGCCGATCTGAATTCTGATCGAAGTTTGGAATTGTTTATCGATGTCCAGGAATCAGAATTCGTCATCATTTTTTCGATGCCAGGGATTAGGGGTGCACCAAACCCAGTTCCAGTCAAATCCAATTCCTGGCTTTGGCTGGAGTTGACAGGAATTAGATTTGGATTTGACTGCAGTTGAATTTGATGCGCCTCTACCAGGAATGCGATAGTTGAATGGTAGACTTGGGTAGTTGTGTCTCCAAAATCAATACAATAATTAATGGTATCTTTTCAAGTGTGATTGTTCTTTTATCTTTTTCGATATGTCACATGTATGAATAGACAGGCAATGCCAATCTGACAAAATGAATTCAAGATTTTTTGTAGTTAGGTATGTATGAAGAATCAACTGAAATGCAAGTTTAATATGATAAAATGAATTAGTGTTTTTTTTAATATTTTAGGTATATGCGAATAATTCATTTAATGATAAGTTGAATCTTACAATATAAGTCACTGTTCTTGGTTTTTGTTTAGGATGGTCTCAACAACAACTAACGGCGGCGTCGCTTTCGTGCGAATAACGGAGAAAGTGCTAGCTCATATTCTACTCACAACAAATCTAGGCAAATATAACCCATATAAATTAGGGTTAATATCAGGAATTAGGGTTAAGGATAGAAATAGTGGTTAAGGCTAGTAGTAAGGGTTAACGAGAGGCATAATGGATTAAATGTGAAATTAATGGCTGGATATAGCGTTAGCCGTGAGTACTATATGTAACGATAAATAAGACTCTGTTGAGTTTATATCGTAATGACAAACTGGGTAGAGGTGGAGTAGCTTACAGCCACTCTCGACAATGATGTTTATTCGCTTCTTCACATATCTAGAGTATAACAACTTCATACATAACACACGTATATATAGGAGAGAGATAGAAGAGAGACAGAAGAGAGATATATTATGACAATGGAAAGAGAACAGAAGAAAGAGGAAGGAGAATCATCGAAGCATGCCATCAATATCGGCACACTATACTAATTGAGTGTGGCGGACTATATTTTACTACTGTAGAACCATCTTTGGAAGAAAAAGGAAAAGGTTCCAGCTAGAACCATATTTTACTTGAACCTTAAATGGTTCTGAAAATGGTACCCAAATCTAGAACCTTAAAAGGTTCAGTATGACACCGTTTGTTTTTAGAGAGTAAGAAATTCTATTACCCAAGCAGACAAACTTTCCCAAACACGCGTGTAAACACCGTAAAGTAGCCTTTTCTGAATGTTTAAACGCGTGTGGCAAAAAAGTGGTCGCGTAAACGCCGTAAATCCTCAATTATTATGCGTGTAGCCGCCCACTTTATCTGTATTAAATCTTTAAACGCACAAAAAAGTCCCACACGCGTCTAAACCATCAGAGACTATGAATTTCTCGCGTTTCCCGATACCATATTCCTTATCATTCTTTCATTGATAATTAGTGGCCGCGTTAACGCTGCAAACATAAGTAAAGTCAGCGTTTTCCCGCGTAATATATATGCCATTTTTAAATTTCTAATTTGAAGCGTTTAAACGGCAGATTCACAACTATTTATGAACATACTGCGTTCAAAAAATGTCAACGTGTCTTTTGCTTTAAACATCGAATGTTTAAACGTTGGGATTGAAGAAAAAGTAATCATTTGATGCCACG